GTCAAAGCATAATTTTTTTCTTTTTTTTTATCTGTATCAATATCCATTCGTTTGTTGAAACGAGCGTTAACAATACTGAAGATGATGCATATAGTATTAAGAACTTTTTTTTGTAATCTAAAAAAAGTTTTGGTAACCTTTCTAGTTTGTATAAAAAGTCAAATGCTGTTTATTCAATTCATTACAATTATCGATATAAGTAAATATATACAATTGAATACGTTTATGTATAGTATTAACTATTTTGTAAAGTACATTAACGATATACATTGAAATAGCAATTAATTAATAAACTTATACCAATGCTACTGCAACTTAAATATATAATATAGGTAAAGTAACATAAATTATTTTATTAATATTCCTTAATGGTTTTTTTTTAATAATAGGTAAATAATTAACATTACAAGACTTATTGATGCAATACACGTTTTTAATCGCACAACGTCTTAATATCTGTATGTGTATAACAAATCGTAAGGGCATTTCGATGGATCTGAAAACAAAAAATTCTATAAATATTTATTATAATTTAATGTGGGAAGAATGGGTGTTTAAGCATTTATGTCAATGAGAAAAAAGTTACGGACAAATCTAATACTTCAGACTCATAAGACTTATTTTGCGGCTTCTCACTAAAAAAAATATAAACAAGTAAAGTTTGCACAAGAATAATAACATTTAAGATATAAAACGTTATTTCAAATCCCCATACAAAGCCATAATTCAGTATTGTGAAATTCTGCGCTCAAACCTCTGCTGTTAAATACCGGTTGAGATTGTGTAAAATCGCTGTCTTCTACCAATGTTACATGATATCATTTATTTATATATGATATTGATGATATCTTCCGGACAAAGTAAAAAACATAATTCGATGTGACTGTGTATGTAACTTTATTGTGGTAGAAATACATGCTTACCTAATCTTATTATCTGATAGGTCAATTACTTGCTTATATGTGTTTTACCTGTACTTGTAAAGCCAAGATTGGAAAAAAATCATACGTAAAAACGATCAGTTTTTTAATCGAAATATGAAGGTTATTCGATTCATTTTTGGTGCCGTTATGTTTTCATCCATCAGAAAATAAACGAAGACAGTGATTGCTTTTATTTTAACTAGCTGTTTATATAGTACCACTCAAAACATTGTTCAATCTGCACAACGCTGGAGAGTGGCGCGCAAATAGAATAGCAATCGTAACACTCAAACAGAACAAATATCCGAATCCGTGCGGGGCACTTCGCCCCCACAAAAAAGCATGCGCACAAGCAAAACAGAGACGTTAATCCCGATACCCGAGCGAGGACAAAGGCACTCGTCATTATCAAAACATTAGCGCGCGCCTGTCCGCGGGGCGCCAATTATATTCGCTTGCAACCCCATCGCACGATGATTCCGCGTTGGCAACACCGTTACACTCGTTTATCTGTGGCCGGTAGGGCCGCGAATCTGACATGTCGATACACCCATTCAAAGCCATGTTGTCGAATATTTATCTTGCTTTAGCAAATAAGTACAGATAATAACTCCATTTTTATTCCTATATTTTTCTTATTCTTTTGTTTTCTAATCCATTTCTACGCCATTGTTTCGTCTACAAAAAGTTAAAAAAATAAAATAAGTCGTTCATGGGGCAAAGTGTGCGCATGTATAATAAAATCCCACAGTCGATATTAAGTCTGCCGCTTGACCAATTTAAATGTAAAATTAAAAATCAATTGATGATTAAAGCATATTATACCATTTCGGAATATCTCGACGACGCCAATATGTGGAGTTAATACTGTTGATACTCACGTAGGCTAGAATAAGACTATTGTACCTGTATATTATATTGTACCCTGATATTTTTGAAAAAGAGCAACTGTTGAGTTTCTTGCCGGTCTCTTCTCAACAGAAACCGCTTTCCGAACCGGTGGTACCTTACGAACCTATACACATAATCTTTGATGTAAAATTTGACGATTCATAAGAGCGCGCAAGCGTCTATTTGAATAAACATATTTAAAAAAAAAATCGCCCCCTCTTACCCAAATTAAAAATGAGAATAATATATGACTTGGATTCGATTCATATGAACAAAAATCATTTCGATTAGATCAGTAATGGAACCCACTATGATAATATTATCACAACAAAAACTAATGGAGCCGCACATTTGTGTAGAAACAAGGAAGAATATCTTACTTACTTAATATATTCTCAAAATGACTATCTTATTAATTTCAGTGTTGCTTATTTCATAATTTTCACCATCATTACAGTGTATCTATAAAGCAAGAAAAGTTTTTTGAGTATACATTTTCACTATATTCATCGACACATAAAATTACAAGGAACATTATCGATTTGATAGCGTATTCGTGGACTTCTATCCCCACTACAGGAAAAATATTGAGCGATGAACATAGTGTTTATCTAGTGTGAGTGTATATATTTTATATGTATCATTAATATGTATTCTTTAACTTAAGAAAAGTGTATTTATCAGTAATCTATTACCAACAGTACAAGCTTTGCTTAGTTTGGGACTAGATAAAGTTTTTTAAAATCATTCCCCGAAATATTTATTTATCGTGGCTACGATATCGATGAAGACCACGCACATCACTAGCGCCGGACAATCGCGTGCGAACTCTACGCCGGCACGCGACCAGCTCCCAGTGGGACTCCGATGTTTTTCCATACGTGATGGGCGAGCGACTCGTTACTGTAATTGCAATATTATTACATACGTTTTCAAAGTTGTTGCTCGCAAACAAGAAAGGGAAGGAAACAAACCATTGAACAGATTTAGAAACAGGCACCGTGAGAATACATAGGCGATTAGGATTTTACTTCTAGGTACAATTAATTATATTCCACGTGACTAGAAAATCAACATGGACTATACAAAGTATTTCAAATTCTCAGAGTTTTTAATATCGATGGATTATTAAATAAATATACATAAACTACGACTTCTACAAGTATTTTAAAAATATTTCGTAAAATCTTTCTCCTACTCTCATTGTACCTTAATGGGAGATTTTACTTGCTTTACGATACTTGCTTCCTAGAGCAAGATTCCCGCTGTTCTCGTCTTCAGGCTATTGTCAATTCTGGCAATCTAATTATTCACTTTAGATTTACATTGCCCTTATAGTATGGCAGCCCACGAATGGGCAGGCCCGTCCGGGTAAGTACTACGGTACCTAGGGCTTCTGTGAGGTCGTAACCTCACAGAAGACCGGCGTAAAGTATAAGTGTTATACTTCTGCATTTCGTCAGGTGACCCACCAGCTGATTTGCCACTTTCTCATATAAAAAAAAAACATTAGCTCAGATTATACATTCTGTGAACGCTTGCACGTGATCCGGTAACGCTTTCTCAGGCGAATTAAGAGTGCGGCAGTTGGCGGTGCAACGGCATTAACACCGTGTAAATCACAATGATCGCTTCCAGCGAGCAATTAGTGGCTCGGGGCCGGGCAGCGGAGCGGACGGGCGCGCACAATGGCGGCGTGTTTAACACAAATAGCCTTAATCCGCAATTGGCGCCATTGTGACCCTGTTTGCGACGCTCACTCGCGATTAAACACCCAGCGTTCCCGCCCTTTGTGAGTAAGGCGCAGTCGCCACTCGACCGCTCGGCTCCTCTCGTCTCATTTCATTTCTTATTCGCACTAATTGTGGGAAAAGGGCACTCGAATCTCGAAATCACAGTGTTCGATTGTGGGAATCGCTCCTTGCCGCTTTCGAGCGAGCGCCCATTAAATGTTTACGTGCAATTCGATGCAATCGTGTGTTAATCGACTCTTTAGAAATAATGGATACGAAATTGACTTCGGTTTCAGCGAATATCTCGATTCCATTGGTACCGCTCCAACGGATTCTCGATAACTACGCCACACATCGAATTTTATTTAATTCGCAGCAAAAAAGATAGCAACAATAAAGTCGAGCCATTATACTTTCGCTATATAACACGATAGAAAAAACACAGAAGAGGCCCACCGACTACTTAGTTATCTATTATCGTTTGCTATAATCTCAAAACTCACGGCCGTCGCCACGGCGCGGTGGATCGAAAAAAAAAACGTAATCCCAAAAACAAACACCTTCCCGCGCAAACTGTTACCGATCCGGCAACGGTGCAGCGCGTCGTGGCGTTGCTTTGTTTCGCGCCGCCCGCGGGCATGGCTGCCAACCTCCCGTTCGAAAATAATTAAGCGCGAGGGTATTAAGGCGACGTGGGGTCGGCCCGGGGCGCGGCTGTGGGAACGGCCCCATTGTCTTTGGGCGCTCTCATTCAGGTTGCTCAGCGTTCGCCCGCACGGCGTTCTCGGAGCAATTGATACGGACCATCGACGACAGACCTTTGAGCTTGTGAACCACGCAACTATTGTCACGGCAGATCGGTTTTGTCAGCGCCCTTTGTTTGGCAAACAGACGTGCTCGCGGCCCGGAAGAATTATTCCCATTGTGCACAGCCGCTGGCCGAATGGTGCGCGTTGTCCGCGCTTTTTGATGGATGCTGGAGAAACAAAACAGAGCTGCCGCGCTCTATGGTGTGGTTGGGACGAATTAGATTGTGTGTTCATTGAACATTTGCGTATTTTCGCAATATTAAACATCAACCGTTCGCACGACCTAATAAACCTGTGGGCTTGCTAAGGGTTGGTAGTGCCCCAAATTTTCTTATATCTCAAGCGATAAGGTAAAAAAACGCCTATCAAGAACGTATGGAGTGTGCTGTCCGAAACAGCATCCCCAACGCAGAACATATTCATCTTATCAAAATCAGATTGCAATTTCAATGTCCTTTTAGTTTTCCTCCACTATCTAATTCGTTTATATAGTTCGTGTTAGGTCCGCGACAATACATAAAAGTTACAACACGTATGTTAAATTCCATAAGTGAAGTAAAAGCAAAAAATATGTAAACGGCATCTATGAAATATAAGTTTTTTTATGGTGGTAGAGCCACGCAGCAGCCTCGGCTGTTGCACGAATGGACAAGCTCGTCTGGGTGAGTACCGCGACCTCACAGAAGACCGGCGTAAAATGAAAGTATGACAAATACTTTCGCGTTTCGTCTGGTGAGTGAGGTGGCTGGAGCCCAATTTCCAAAAAGGTTGTCAACGCATCTACAAATCTTCGGGTGTAGCAGATGTCTGTGGGCGGCGGTATTCACTTAACATCAGGTGAACTGTCTGCTCGTTTGGCAACTTTTCATATAAAAAAAATAGTTTTCAATAGTTGCCGTGACATATTCGACTCGACGCGTAAACAGTAAGGTCGTTTTTTAATATTACTGAGACATCACCCATCAGTCTTACGGTCGTTGCGATAAAATCAAAGCACCCAACGACACATTAAACGAGGCGAAACTTTGCAACAGATAAAAAATTCGAGTGCGTTTCACGTGTACGCAGCGACCGCTTGGCGGCAGTCGTCAACGGCCCTCGAGGGCCCTTGACAGGTGTAACGCGGCTCAATCCGCACTACCAGAACAGCACGTGCTAACGAGAGGCGTCAGGCGCGGCGTATCTGTCGCGGTGATCGCACGTAGGCCGCCTACGACCGCGTGGATGCGTGGAGGGCGCGCGCGTGTCGAATCGCTCCCTCGCGCCCTCTACGAGGCAAGAGAGGCTAATTGCCGCACGTGACGCACTCGAGTTCTCATTGTTTAATAGACAACCGTTTTGACGTTATCTGCGTGAAAATACTTTTTTCTAAATATTCGATGACAACGATTCGGCCCGCTCTTTTAAATCTTGTGGAGCTGTGGCCATTGATTATATCAAGAGCAAATACGCAGCATTCGCAGTGTTTTCATTAAGCATTATGGAATATGTCAGTGTGGCTTTTTATTCCATTATGTAATACGTTATTAATGTTTAAACATTTATTTCATCAAAGGCCGTATATTTTATTCATCAGTAAAGAGGCGAAAGCAATTAAAACAAATGTCAATGTATTCACCAAAATTTTTTTATCCAATAAATTTTATAAATATATCGCGATTGGTCACTTTGTTTTAAGAGACAATTTAGAATCATCTATATGCGATCACATGATAGCGGATTATCTTATTGTAGTCCTATACTTTATTTCAGACTTCTAATGGCAAAAATTAGTCAATGGTGCAGTTTCTAAGCTATTAACTTCGGCGTTTGGCCTGGGGGACGTGGGTTTGATTCCCACAGGGGACAAGTATTTGTCTGAACTACAGATAATTGTTCCGGATCTGGTGTTTACTCCCAAGGATGGTGTACATCGGGCACAAACAAACCCAAACGAATTTACATGCTTATGTCATTAAGATGTAAAACAATCTCTGTCTGTCCCGTGACCGTGGATGCTGCGAAGTTGTCAAAACTATTATAATCTTACTAACGACAAATCTTATCGAGACATTGGTTTAGTTCACTGATTATTTAGTTTAGATTATGTATTTGTGCCATTTGCTGTTGAAACTTTAAGTCCGTGGGGTCCCCACATCAATTTTTTTTAAAGTTTATGTCATAGGCTTAACGCCGCGGCTGGTGACAAGAGAGCTGGTTCTTTCTCGCTCAAAGGTTTAGGATAACTATTCAGCGCGGAAATGCAGCTATCGTTCTTGGCACCATGCCGCGTGGATTTGGTTTATTAGATAATACGTAATTTTGGATAGATTTAATCTTGTAAATATTAGATCAATAAAGACATTCATCAGACGTTTGTTACATCACTGATGTAACAAACTAATCGGTAATTAGAATGTGCTATCGAGGGCCAAAGGTAGACTCACTATAGTTGAGATCGTTAATCGTATAAGCAAACGTTTAACACGGCGTGTAAAGGAGTTTCTCTCAGTAAAATTCGATGCACTCAGGTTAACAGTTCTTTATTTGCAACAAAGTACAAGAAACGGTTTTGCAACAAAGTACAATATTACAAATACAATTAATAAGTAAACGTTAGCAGAGAGCGCATACGGAAAAGAATAAGCATGTAAGACAAACAGTACCCGTATTTATTTAAAATTTTAAATGTAACGTTAAAGTTATTAACAAACAGTATTACAAGAATAAACTAGATTTTTATTAAAAGTAACATAATACTTAACAAAAAATTGTAACGCGTCGCCTACACAGCGAATGATTTATCTCCAGTCACTATTAGAGTGACAATAAATTGCATCCTACGTTAATAAATGAAACTGAAAACCCAAAATCACATATAACCTAGTTCCAATTTCACACTTCCTGGTGTTCCTGAAACCTTCCTGGCTTGTAATAGTCGCGAAGTTAAAGTTTGTCCTATTAGAAATAGCGTTCATCCTGTTAGAAAACATACTTTTTATTAAGTCTCACTTCTGAATTAAGTATTAACCATACTTGTTGCGGTCGTCAGCGTCCACTGATCAGTAATTCGACACTTATCGTTGGACCCATAGGCGTAGCCACCGTGGCGTTTTGGGAATTCGAGCCACATCGAAATATTCAAAATAATACTGGAACATTCAATGAATGCATTTTTAAATTAGATTTTCAGTTTCTCACGAACAGAAGGTATTTTTTTAGGTAATTGAATCAAAAATCGTGTCGTTATCGTTGATGTTAGTTACTCGTTTCATTTCTTTGTAATGTCAGTAAAATTTTCAATATTACTGTAATTTATTGTACTTTTTTTTTGTTTATTTTCTTAAACCTAAGATTTGGTTACGTCCATGATTGTACCATTTTGTAAGTGTTTACTTCAAACTAATTGAATAGCAAATCTATTATTCTATTAGGTATAATTTAACATATCAAGGTCCCCCCCAACTGGTGACGTCATAAAGATTTAGAATCAAGTGAATTAAAGAGGATTTGTAACGATGGTTGATTAGTTTTTCACTAATTTTGCCCTAAGAGTATTTAAGAAGTTGATAATTAATTATTATACTTATATAAACTAAATGTGGAAACTTTTAATCGGCCTTCTATACGAGTTAGATGTTAGTTTCCCTAATTGATATAAAAATAACGGGCAACGTGTAAGTCATCACATTTACTTCAAATGGGGAATACCCATAACATAACTCAATATTTAACCATATAAAACAGATTTCAAAATCCCTTAAAACTTTGAAATTAAAATTAAAAGCAAATGACGAACAATGTATGTCAATTAAAATCTAAAAAGTACCAACTCATAGTCTAAGTTTATAGCTCACAAAATTAGGACACAAAACTTTTTTCACAGAATTTTTTTTTTAATGTGAAAAGTTGCCAAGCGAGCAGACGGTTCACCTGATGTTAAGTGAATACCGCCGCCCATGGACGTCTGCAATATCCGAGGATTCCAGATGCGTTGACAACCTTTTGAAAATTGGGCTCTGGCCACCTCACTCACCAGACGAAACGCGAAAGTATTATACTTCAACTTTACGCCGGTCTTTTGTGAGGTCGTGGTACTTACCCAGACGAGCCTGCCCATTCGTGCAACAGCCGAGGCTGCTGCGTGGCCCTACCACCGTTAAGAGACCCTTTAAATTGTTTTTGTTGATTAAATTGTTAGAAAATAGACCCTTTAATTGATATTTATAATTTTTTTGTTCTCTCTAAATGATCACTGATGCATGTTCGTTGGTAGTAAACGTTTGTTCTGTGATGACAATTTTTTTTAATAAAAAATTTCATTTAGCTAATACCTTTTGGATTAACAAAGTACTACTTGCTTAACTTTTTCTCTAAAATACTATACGTACGTAACGTTAGTAGGTACATATTATTCGTGGTCCAACTAGTACTTATATCGAAAAATTTATAAACAATCGACATTACTTGGCAAAATCAATTTTAGCACTGTAAACTACATACATATAAAAAAAATATACAATTCAACATAAGCAAGTGTATATTTCAATTTATTAACAAATTATTTGTCTCTTTCAAGTGCTCTAAAAGCCATATTAAAAGTCGATTGCTGATCCAGGACAGGGCCCTTTTGACGAGTAGCAAAACTCTTCAAAGCTGCAAAGTGATACGCCTTCCAGAATATTTATGTTCATCCACACAATAAAGCAGAGTCTGCAAACAAGCAATTTGAAACGGGAAAATAAGTAAATTGGTTCTCAGGTTTTTCCTCCATCAACCAATTTTTCCAGATACGCCTTCCAGAATTACTACAAATAAAGCAGAGGTTTGAAGAGTGTCTTATTATCAAATGGAAATAGTATATTTAAAAATCATTAGTTTACACTATAAGTCTAGTTACTTAACAATATGATATTCAAATTTGAAATAAAATTAAACTACTAACTTATTGTATATAGGACTTGTTTGTTACCTTAGATTTAAGAATATCATAAATTCTGATCCTCTCATACTGAGAAAAAAACATAAGTAGTCTGAAGATGAAGATGAATGCTGAGCAGTGCGGATTTCCCTTAAGGCCCAATAAACCCGGGCCTAGGGCGGCCACATATTAGGGGTGGCCTATCGTGACAAAATATCACTGATGATAACAAGATATATATAAGACTCTGAGAAAGAGGCGGCTGGAACTTAGTACATGGGCTGGGGCCTAGGGCGGTCAAGACTACAAATCCGCCACTGCTGCCGATAGAAGTTAAAACGTAAAACAGTATCACATATTTAATTCTACATATTTTATAGACATAACTACAAATACATTTTTCCGTATTCCTTTTTTAAAAATAGCTTTCCATGAGCTATTTTTGCGTTAATCCCTCAAGACTGAGCTGAACTAATAATCATCTCATTATTATTACTCTCATTAATGATGAACATTTGAACATGCCCAAACTCGTTTTTTTATTAAAGGTTTTATGGCCTGGTAAGAAGACCTTCAAGCCACTCAATCTCTTGCATTGATAAAAGAACTGAAGCTGTCAACGAGTAACTCCGTCGTCGATCGTGTGCTCTAAGCTTTAATGTATATCTACCGGTCGACCCCTCTCGCGTTACAAGTTACGACCAACGCAGGACTGGCAAATATTTGACATACGCGTAATTGCCACACGAGAATCCTGTCTCGTTTTACGGTGGCTCTTCGATTCCACCTTATTTGGATTGACGCCGAGTCGAAATATGTACAATATTAGCGAGAGAAATGTTTGTCCATATCTTTTATAGCATCTTTACACAAATCTCAATTCCGTTTATTCATTTTATTTATAACAATGCAACGTATTTTACATATAAAACTTCCTCTTGAATCACTCTATCTAGTAAAAAATACCACATCAAGATCCGTTGCGTAGTTTTAAAGATCTAAGCATACATAGGGACAGACAGACAGCGGGACGACTTGGTTTTATACTATGTAGTGATTAACTTATACAGCTACTAAAATATGTATTAATCTAAATTAAAAATGTAAATTAAACAATATTAACGGATTTAACGTTTCCTTTAAAGTTCAATTTCCGATTTCATTTGAAATTATTTCAAATGCTGCATTATTCGTGCCATATTAGTAATGTAAGACATTATTAGGTATTTTATTTACTTTGCTAAGGCCATCCAACAGTCCGGTATTACACGAATGGGCAGGTCCGTCTGGGAAGTACCACGACCTCACAGAAGACCGACGTGAGTTGGAGGTGTTACACCGGAGGTGAGTGAGTTATCCTGACCCACTTTAATAAAAGGTGGCAATATATTTGCAACCCCACGGGTTTTACTAATGTCCATGTGGGCGGCGCTTATTACTTAAGCCGCCAGCTCGCTTGCCTACTTTATACATTAAAAAATATTTAAGAAAAGTGGTTATAGCAATTAATATTATTAATTTAGAAATATCCATATAACATTATTAACAGTAAAGATCAATCAATTAGACTTATATGGACTGTAAGCTTACAACCATATAAAAGTAAAAAAAAGTATTGTCACAAATGTCAAGCAAAATCGGTCACTGTAGACTCAAAGTTATAAAAATAAAACAATGAACGTGCATAAGCTGTGGGAATACAAGGAATACGTTAATGTAAACGGTGTCATGTTATCCAACGAGTTAATTTCTTTATTACAGACATCTTTAACCCTGTTGCAAGTGGAAAATCATTTTATCACCGTGCAATATTGGGGGCAAATATATGCCATTGATGCCGATTATCACATAGCTGTCGGTATAAACAAAGATGTCCTGAACGATAGAAAATATTATTATACAACGGACTTTAAGTTTTGGGGGTTACTACCGAAGGCGAAGAAAAAGTATAAGTTTCTATCCCTGCTTGCAGCGCCGCCTTTTCGTGGCGACGTCTCAGAAAAGATTAAAGTCCTAGATGAAGCTCTAGATGAAAGTGACCCAGAACGTTGTAAATCAATGAAAGAAGAGGCGAGACTTGCTGCTACCATAAGCAACATTTGCGAGGAAGCAGAAGTTTGTGCCAGGGGTCAATTAATAAAACAGTCTGACGGCACAGCAGTCATTAGCCCGAATTTTTATGGTCTAACATCGCAGGAAGCAAAACTTCTCCAATCCTTTCTACATATAAGGCCGGCTCAACATAAATGGAATACAAATCTTACACGTCCAGATTATAACTGCAGTATGGACTTTTTAGATTCAATAGATCTGGACATTCCAAATGGTTGTTGGAATTTGTCTTTGGAAAACACAGGTAGCGTTGCCTACCTTAAAAGTCTTTATTGGCCTGGAATGATGTACTTTCATAAAATAAAAACTCCTGACGCTGGATTTTTATATGTGGGTAATGGTCGCAAAAATTTGGATGTCCCTTTTCTTCTCTAAGTTAGAAATATTGTTTCCAAGTTCTAAGAGGAAGACATGAAAGATAAATTTCACGATTGCTCTAATACTTACTTTTCACATTATCAATAAATCCATTGAATTGTTGGTCCTTAATTTATTTCACATTTACCGTGAATTTATATTGCTAATAACCTCAGAGAGGTAAGTTGTTTATAAGTAAAAGATAATCTCTAAAAGCAGTGTTTCAAAGGTAATACATATAGCAGTTCAATAAAGGTACAGAATGAATGAGAAAATAAAATGACCTTGGAAAAACCTCTCAGAAACTAAAGCCGCATAGATAAAATCATATCAAAGTTTTCGTTGACTCAATTGATGAGAAGGCCGAATGCCTCTCACTTCAAAATCACTAAGTCCGGCGGCCTTACCAACGAACGGTAGATGAGTTATTAATTAAAAACATTAAAATCCAATGACTAGTCCCGAATAAACAAAACACTCCCTGGAATAAAGCGTATGTCATCTGTATTCGTAAGCTGAATCCATCAGCCGTCTCTTTGCCACGGGCAAAATGTAGGAACGCATTATCCTTCCAAGAATTAGAGAATTTCTGTACCCAAGCCTCGTTATTCTCCAATAACATCCAAGGTAGAGTAGGAAATATACGCTGACGATACAGCCCTATACGCGACCGGTCGTAGTAAAACCGGATTATTATACGTTTACAATCTGCAGTAAATGGCTATAAAAACAAAACCTGGATTATTAACCATTTAAAAGCTGGACTAAATCCGCCCCTTTATGAAACATGCGCTAAGCCTAGGTCTTTAGATCCAGTGTTTCAAATCGAGTTCAATGCAAAGTAGATTATGGCGATCGTGTTTAATTGTTCGGGCTACCACCAACCGTGATAACTTAGTGTCCGGGTACTAGCTTTTAATTAAATATACTCGTGCAACTTGACTTCAAATCCCAGTATCGGCACCAATAAAACTGTTAATTTTGATTGCTAACTTATCTGAAACATCTTGAGGAAACCTGCATATTTTAAACATTATAGAAATAAAAGATCCGCCATGGTAGGTCAAGTAATAGATAATGCCCTAATACCCCAGCTTATTTTTTTTAAAAGTAAGAGTCCCACTGGTAGACCTTTACCTATCAGTGGGACTCTTCCTTTTTCTTTGCTTTCTGTCACCACTGAAAGAAAAACATTCCTCCCATTAAAATACTCGTGACACCCGATCCATGGTAAAGCAAGATATTCTCAATCTAGGCATTGCTCGGGACAAAAAAAGCGATAGATTCAATAGCAAGCAATGGACAACGTGCGCTTAGCGCGGCACACATCACATTTACTATCAAACATACATCACAGTGCAGTCGCCGGCGAACGCAAGATTCTGATACCCAGACTACATACGGTCCCCGTGTGCCAGGTCGCTTTTGTAGTCGTTTTATTAATTGAAAAGAGAGTTCACCTATGATCGCCCGTTACCAAATATTTAAATTGCGATGATTAAGAATTTGTGCGAATTTATTATTTTCGTAATCTTGCGTTTCGCAAAAAAGTGAATCTCGAAAGTAATTGTTATCCTGTATTCATTATTTTCTTAAGTGATCGTTTGTTTTTGTAGTGATCTGATTCAACCTGGTTCCACTATCCATCGCAGTCCAAGTCGTAATTCGAGCTGAGTGGGCCCTTATAACTTTTCGTGCCCCACTTGTTAAAGAAATCATCATACTTTCGTTAACAGGGTGTTAACAGTAGATGTGGCTAATGGGATCACTCTCAAGCCAAAAAGACACTTAAGGACTGATAACAAAACTCTTTATTTCAACTTAAACATTTTGAACTTATTTTAGACGAAACGTAATCATTATGAAATTTATGTAAAATACAAGAGTTATGTCAAATAGCTAGACATGTTACTTCTTCAAACGATTTTTACGGAATCATCAAATATGACAATTCAGTCTGAACAAATAAAACTAACATTACAAATTTAAAGTAATTCAAACATAATACATAAACAGGTCACAGTTGACATCAAAAGAGTATGTATAATCTGAGATTACCAATCAACAAACTGTGCTTAGGCCAAAATATATATATGGCAACTCAAGAGTTTAATAGCTAATTCGTTGTGTGTATTGTCGTTTAAAGTTTCAACATACTGTAAAATTGTTGGCGCCTTTCTTAACCGGCTTTCCTGGTAGTTTATAATTATATAAAAAATACAAGAAATTTTTAAGACTGTACTGTGAAAAAGTGCGCAAATGTCGACAAACGGCATAAATACAAATGAAGACACCGAAATGGCTGATTGCGACGGAGAAAAGGTTGTAACAATGATGGACGTTCTACAGGAACAACAAGATTTTGAAGAAGACGCTAATGCCGTACTTGGAGCCTCCGATGATAAAAATTGCACTTACTCCAAGGTAAACTTTTTTTATTTACCAAATTCCGCGTGTGCAACTTCGCATTAACATACGACGTTTTAAATTAATTCCTCACTTAAAATCTGTTTATTCGCCATAATCCTTAAAGAAAGATAGAGTTAAGGGATAGGAATATAAGTACATTTAAATATTCATTGGCTCCTCTTAATCCAATTTAAATATTTGACCGGATGGAAGACGCTAGATACTTGCCACCTGGCTCACGGGCTCTTGTTGACTACTACATTATTACAAAATTTAAACTACAATATTACATTACTACCACAATATTAAATTATTATTATTGAGTATCGTCAGAATAAAATTATTCTTTGATGGTTTTCATTATTATTCTTAATCAAACAGCAATATCAGGTTAGATTTACATTCCAGTCTAAAACAAAATTGTTATTTAAAACATTATACACACTAAATATCCTTAAATTAGTTTTATTTCAAATTTTACATGTTCTGTTCATGTAACTTATATATGATTTTATGATTATAGGGTTATATAAAAAGACAAGCAATCTATGCTTGTATGACATGCTGTTCTGATGCTAAAGAAGATGCCACAAAACGAGCAGGTGTCTGCCTTGCTTGTAGCTTATCCTGTCATGAAAACCATGAGCTGGTAGAATTATACACAAAGAGAAATTTCCGTTGTGATTGTGGAAATCCTAAGTTCAACTCACATCCATGTCAGTTCAATACAAATAAAAGTGACATGAATGAAGACAATAAGTATAACCAGAATTACAGTGGCTTATATTGTATTTGCCATCGACCTTACCCTGATCCTGAATCAACATTTGAAGATGAAATGATTCAATGTATCATTTGTGAAGATTGGCTGCATGCATCTCATTTAGATGCTATTGTTCCACCTAATGATCAATATTCTGAAATGATTTGCAAGGATTGTATGGATAAAAATGACTTTCTACATGATTACAGTAACCTTGCTGTTAAGGTTGATAATACAGACATTGATGTTGTCAGTACTAATGATGTCACCATCCCTAATGGTCACTCTTTGGACAACATATTAGAAATATCAAAAGAAAATGCAGAGCAAAATATTTCATCAGAGGATATGGAAATAAAAGATAAAACTAAAATGGATGCTATAGAAGATGATGTAAAAGAAGATACGATTTCAATGAATAAAGCTGAAACTGGTTGTACTAAAGCTACTGTTGAAGAAGAAACAAAAGATGAATCTCTTTCAAACACTGTGTTGAATACTTTAAAAGAAACAAATGACAAGGAGGAACCATTGACAAATGAAATTGAAATGACAGAAAACACCAAAGACATCAATGAATCGGATGTTGATATAAAGAATACCACACCAGAAGTAACAGAGAAAATCGATTGTCAAGATAACTCTAACTCCAGTAGAGAAATACAAGAAACAGCAGATGGGAAACCAGAAAATGTAAATTCAATAAATATTACACAAAGTGAAATAAATTCGGATAGTAAAGATCTTTTAGCTATAAATGAAGTAAACACCAAGACAGAAGAGGAAGAAGAAAAAGATGTTGAAAACAGTAAAAATGACCAAGAAATAAGTATTACACAAAATGAAATAAATTTGGATAATGATGAAGACCTTTTAGCTATAAATGATCTAAACACCAAAACAGAAGAAGAAAAAAGTGTTGAGAACAGTAAAAATGATCAAGAAATAAGTGAAGAAATTAAACCAAATGACACTTTTGACGAACCGGCGGTAGAAACAGCCAAAAATGAAAATCCTGAAGATAAAAATATTACTGTTAGTTCTAATTTAGAAACTTCTACATCTAATACAACTGTAATAGACATTCCTGAAAACAAAGTTATGAGTGACTCTTTGGAAGCCAAACTTGAAGAAACAGAACCAGAAAAACCTCAAATAGCCACTGAGTTTGACAAAGCTGATACCAGTATAAGTAAATTAGAGACAGCGGATGTTGTGGATGAAAGTAAACTTGAAAATGAACTGCTTAAAACTAACGATATCACAGAAGAAAATGAAATGCTTGAAGAAACAGAAAATGTTACCAGAACAGAAGATAAGGGAGATGTTGAAAGGCAAAACAATCATTTCGACAAAGATAATGAAGTTCCTAATGAAACCTCCACAAATACTAATGAGAACAAGAGAAAATTGTCAATGGATGAAGACAAAGATGATGTAGTCATAAAGAAAGTGAAAGTCGACGAAGCAAAGACGTGTGTAAAACCAGAGGGAGTAAAAAGATGTTTTAGGGGGGCAACTTTCTGGCCTTCAAGCTTTCGCCAAAAACTATGTACCTGTAATGAGTGCCTTTCAATGTATAAGGACCTGTCGGTGTTATTTTTAATAGACCCAGAGGATACAGTTACAGCCTATGAAATGTTAGGGAAGAAAAATAATGAGGGCAGCCCATCATCACAATATGAGAAGGGCTTGCAAGCTTTATCTTCCCTGGACCGAATCCAACAAATAAATGCTCTAACAGAATATAATAAAATGAGAGACAAATTGTTAGATTTCCTTAAAAGTTTCAAAGATAGAAAGGAAATTGTTAAAGAGGAGGACATAAAGGCTTTCTTCGCTGGAATGAAACCAAAAAGAGAACCCGACGGTGTGTATTTTTGCAGATAAATTATTTATTATTGAGAAATTTACTCATTTTATAATACAGTGATTTTAGAAATATCTGACCGCATATGTTGCTAAACATTACATTTAGGTTTGAAATGCAATCCCTTTGTATTTTTTCAACGCTAATTGAAATATATAGGCATTTCTATAATATTCTTGTTTAATTTTGGTCCTCCCTCCATGAACAGGCATGTGTCAATTAAGTGACATTTTACTGCCATGTAAAATAAAACAATTAAGTGCATTATTTGTTTTACATGAGAAGGCGACACAACCTGGTGGTTCAATTACTGATATTAAATGATAACCTCGGCCCATGGACATTTATAACACCCGTAGTGTTGCAGATGCATTGGCACCTTTAAATAAAGTGCACCATGGTTACCTCACTCCACAGGCTAAACCCAGAAGTATAAGACTTCCACTTCATGCTGGTCTATGACTTGGTGGTACTTACCCAGACGGACCTGCCCATTTGTGCAACAGCAAAGACTTGGTCCTACCACAGTTGAAATAGGTGTTAATAGAAAGTGCTCTCTTTCCTTTTAACCTCGATAGGGTAGTGACTGCTAGATAAATCTTAACTATAACATGTGAGTATATTTAGTCTTAAGCATATCTAGGGAGCATGTCAAAATACAATGATCCACTAATTCACAATTGCTAACTAATACAGTTTTCCACATATACACTTTACATCCTGTAAGACTACAATTGAGTGAAAACTGTGGCCTTATGACAAACTAGACTCCTTGTACTACATGGTATTTTGGCACCTGATCCATTTATAACCTGAACTCTAAGTTACATACTCTATGTTTCGCCTTTCTCTAAATATGTAGTCTAATAGATGGAAAGGTCACATGGAATGACAGCAATTTAGTATAGCACCAAAATCAGACTATAATAATAAAGTTATTTGTTACTTTATTATTATAGTCTGATTTTGGTGCTGTGAATTTGTGTAGCTGTTTAGTTTTTGCAATTTTCTTGTATACTTAGTCTCAATTGGTATGTAAAAGGTACCTGCGTGGGATATACATTATATCTCGAAGTTAATATTCTTAACATATACATATATATGGTCTATATAAATATATTTTCCCTAGGTTTAATTCTTCACATCGAGCTGACGGAAAAAACAATATAAATAATACGATATATTCGAAATTTGAAACGCATGAAGTTCGCATTTACGGCCACAGGTTATTTAGTAAAACGACAGAGTGCGTGTAATTAAATTTATTATGGTAAAAGTGCCGACGTTGCGACTAATCACGCGTACAAGATGTCGTAATGGCCGGGTCGATACAGAAGCTGCACCAGCGGTTGCGAGCCTTCGGGGAAATCGTGCGCAATCACCTGGGGACCGAACAAGTCGATTTAGCACATTTTAATAGGGGCCCCAATTGGGCATATTTACGACACATGCGCCGATTCAGGGCGGGCATAACTAATAGCTGTCAAGACGCCACCGAAACGTTGTTTTAAACGCGTTTTTTTAAGTGATAAACAAATAGGTATCATTCGATTTATTCAACGTTATTTACTTTTTATGATTATTATCGTTTTCATTGCTATTTTCTGCATTCAAGATAAAAAATTAAATGTGAATTTATTGTAAATGATTTGTCAAGAATTTCTTTCGGCGCTGTGGAATTCTTCAGACATCTATCGTCCTAATTCGTAGTAAAAATGTTATTTGAAATGTTGGCATAATGTAAATAGTTCACACTATATGACCAAGCAATACATATAATTCCATAAAGAAAGTAGATAGATGTTCGCGAGGATAATGGGTTACCTTAGTAGCTACGTCGAACGTCTGGACGCATTACCCGGATGTAGCAGGTTCGAATCCCACAGTGCCGACAAAGATTTTCGACAGTTTGTTATTATGTAAATAATTCACATTTATAATTTTATTTACTTGCCAATTAAATATAACTTGTTTCAAGTTGCAAACTTACTCTAAATTCATGCACCCCACAAGGATAATAGTATAAAAAAACACTGATTATTTTTATTTATGCAGCTCCCAAAAAACTGCATTGCACCATTGAAACCCATCATTCAAAGCTTCAAGCATTTTAAAACACATGTGTCATCAAACAATCATAATAATTTAAAGCATATTTTAACATAAAACTACTCATAACAACTAATTATTAGGATATGAATAATTAACACTGTATGTTGATAACAAAATTCATAAATAAGTACTCTTGCCTATCAATTACAGGGATAACATCACGGTGGTAGGGCCACGCAGCAGCCTCGGCTGTTGCACAAATGGGCAGGCACGTCCGGGTAAATACCACAACCTCACAGAACACTGGCGTAAAGTGGAAGTAAATACTTTCGCATTTCGTCTGGTGAGTGAGGTGGCCGGAGCCCAATTTTCAAAAGGTTGTCAATGCATCTGGAACCCTCGGGTATAGCAGATGTCCATGGGTGGCGGTATTCACTTAACATCAGGTGAACCGTCTGCTTGTTTGGCAACTTTTATACAATTATATAATTTTCAACTGAAGTAGTTTATGAGTTTAGAACTGTTTAATCAATAATCCAATAAAAATTACCTGGCTGCCATCCCCACGGTCCATGTACTTAACTCTAACACCTACATTGAGGGCATTGCTCAGGGCGATTATGTGGATATGGTCAGACTCTTTGTACATGGGCTCCACTTCCTTAAAAGGCAAAGGTCAAAATTAACAATAGATTAACTTGCTATAAACAAATATGACAGTAATAGAGACATATCATAAAGTTGGATAAAAATATTAGTCAGAAAATGAAATGAAATTTGAAATACATACAAATATTCATTGAAAAAATCTATGAGGAAATCACTACCAAGGTTTCATGAGACGTAAGGCTTCTCCGTAAATGCATCAGAAGCCATATATCTATGTGAGTGTCCAAACTTGACATATTTATACTGTGATGATTACTTCTCATTTGGTTACTTACTCGATTAAAGTAGTTATTGTTACTTTAACATATATGGCCCTTTAGAATAATCATACTTAAAAAAATTGAAGAAAAAGTTCTGATTTAAAAATAAATCTTAGATAAATTTGTTCTTTTCTTAATAAAGCCATAAGCTTGTCTAAGACTGGTATGACTTGTTCCATGAAATTTTATACTAAACATTATTTATTTCAAAAGAATCAGTTGATTATTCTATAACTATAAGTCAATGTAAAAAAAGTGCACATTTTATTGACTATACCTGTCTGCAAAATTCTGTAACAGTTCTAGATCCTTCAATAAAGTTCTGATAGAAATCGTGTTGTGTCTGCAACTGGCCAGATGTCACAAGACGGAGGTAAACAACTATGTAGTCTGAATAGCCCTGTTTGTTAAATTTATCATGCAGTTCATTGCGAACAGACTCTAGTTCTTCTGTTGAACCTCCAGCTTGGTCACCTACCCGCTGAACCACTTCCATAAACTGAAAATATTATTTAAATGAGAAATTTCTTTTTTTTTTTCTTTAAATTTAATTATTACTGGCACAAAATTGTTAAATAATACTTTTGCTAGTAAACATTTATAAATGGTTAAGACATTCAGTCTCCAGTCAGATGAAATAAATATTATTATTACTTCAAATGAAAAAAAGGAATACAAAACATAATACCTAGTCTTTCCTATTCTTAGAAATTCTCATTTATATGATGTAAAATATATGTTCATGTGACATAATAAAATGAAATCACTTATTTGTTTTAACTTTACGTTTGCCTAAACAAAGATAATATAACCTTTAAATTGTGTACTCACTGTCTCGTAGAAGTCTTCAACGGTGAATTGTGGGAATCCTAAGGCAACGAGAATATCCTTCGAGTTTTTGGCTATTTCATAAAACTTATCGTATTCAGCTTTATCAGTGAGAAGATGCTCTAAATAAGCATAAGAGAACGCACGAAAAAAGCAATTTCCATCAGGGCGCGTTCTTCTAATATATTTGTACTTAGACGAGAGATCTTTTACTTTTAACAGATAAATAGGATCGTCGGTGTATTCTTTCTCTAATGACGACAAAGCTTCAAGTTCACCGACAAGAGGTATAGTCTCTGATATCTAAAAACAAATAAACACAGTGTTGTTATTGCGAATTCTGAAGGAAACTTGAAATAGAAACATTTTTATGGGAATAAATAAATTAGCTTACCTCTTTTTCTATCTCCCGTTGCTGTTTCATAATCAACTCATCTTGATTAACTGCATTATCAACTAAGTTACCGGTGCAAGCACTACTGCTCGATGCATCGTCCGCCATTTTCAAATTTTATAAAAATAAATGTTGACACATGACAATTGTCAACAAATGACAATCGCATACTGCTAAACAAAACTTCGTTCCGAAAGTTTTTAGAAGAATTTGTAATTTTATATTATTCAACTTATTTTATATATTATTGCAATGGTTACAGAATATAAGTAGAACAATGTGTTAATGAGCAATTTGCGCAAGTTGCGTAAATTAATTATAAAATGTTGAAAGGTGAAAAAAATTGCAATAAAAATATTACATCGGCTTATAAATAGAGTTAATTTATCATATAGTCTTTTCATACAGTCAATAGAGAGTAAAATACAAAATTGTGTTACTTAAGTGTAATTTTGTACATTTATTTTAACGTAAGTGTTAAATAACTGTAAGGGGGCCAACCATTATTCACATGAGGCTCGAAAGAAGAGGGCAGGGTTTTGACAAAAATCACGAAATATCATGGTGAGGGGTGTAATAAAATATCACGTGTATTTATTTGTTGTGTACTAAGTTATTGGGTGTGTAAGTGTTATATGTAGAACCGGTTCAAAGGACGTTGAAATCGCGATTTAATCACAATACTTACTAACGTCGAACAATCGGTTGTGATGAAAAAAATTGTTTTGAAAAACTTCCCAGGGATAAAGAGTAAAATCGCGTCTTTTTGAGATATCGATTGAGAGAGGCCAATATCAACCATCCCAGGCTTATACTCATCTAAAAAGAATACTATTTGGGGATCTGTAAATCGCGTATTTTCAATAAAGTCCACTATATAAAAAGTCTATCCGAAAACCGGATCTAAACACATTTTTTGACGCAAATAATAATAACCAATTTGTAGGATGCATAAGTCATAATACACAAAGAAAATAATGAATAGGTAAAATTTAAATTTTATTAACTAGTCAGCAAACATATCCTCAATCTTCTTTTGTACTTCTTTTTCGGTTTCAGAGTTAAGTTTCTCTGGGAGCAACTTGACAGCTTCCATGTCTGCTCCATCATCATCTTCAGTAGTGGCCTGTCCTTTCGCCTGAAAGAGAACGCAATAAAATATTTCACATGTTTTAAAAACATTTTATGTTAAAATTCCTCCAACATTTATAATCATTTTATTGATTTGATGCTTTATATAACACAAATGGGAATGTTTGTCTAGGTAAGATACAGTTTACCTATAAACTGAGATTAATTTTAATCTATTTAGGAAGTATCTATAAAAGTTAATTTAGCTTATGTTAAGGAGCATGAGGCTTTAATACGTAAATAAAATAAAAGATTACCTTCTCTAACTGTATTTCTAGTTGCATAATAGCGCGTTCCAGGCGGTAGTTGTCGGAAACAAGCTGTGCCCAACGTCGACGCAATGCACGCAGCCTAGCACCGCTGGCGGTTTGCGAACGTTTGCGCTCCCAATTCACAGCCGCTATTTGCTTCCTGGGAAAGTTGAAGTTTTTTATGATAACCTGTTTAGTTTTGTGCATTAACAATTCTCCGTGTACTAGACTGAAGGTCTTATGGCCACAATAATTTAAAAAAAGCTTATGGTATGTAATTTCAAGCTGCCCATGCCCACTTGTTGGAAGAGATATCTCTTCCTATAAGTGGGTGAATATTTTTTTAGTTAACTTGTCTGAACTTTATTGTCCATTAAGATGACAATTGTTGTTGTGGTCAGGGACAAACATCGACCAGACCCATGAGAACCGAGCTGAACTAGCGTCATTGAAAACCCTAAGGCTCAGTCAGATATTACAAATTGTTTTATTAATATTTTGCCGAGCCAAAATGAATAAAAAAATTAAAATAGTAGTAGTTACCTTAACTGTGTATGTACATTCTGTGACCGAGTAACAAGAGACTGTAACACATTTAGATAGGACCTCCATGCTTCAGTTCCATAATGCAGCTGTAATTCTAAATTAAGAACTCTCGTAGCTTGGTGAGACAACTGTGCATGGGAGTTGTCCACTGCCTCAGCCCATGCTGTTGGCTCTCCAAGACGTCCAGTTGGAGGTGGGGGTAACTCATATCTAAGGAAAATTTAAACGCCATATAAATAACACTAGGTATTAAGTTAAAACTTATGAAAAATAAATGGTACTAAGTAGTAACAAATTTCTTAAGTTTGTTTGTTGTTAATGGATGTCCCTCTGAGAATTACACACATTTGAAAACTAGTATAATTTATAGTGCAGAGCCTATAAACAAAATATAAAATTTTATGAAATTTCAAAAATGAATATTTTTTTTAATCAATTTTTTTTTTTTGTGAGAATAAGGTGGCCAACATATAATTAAAACTCGGAAATATTATTTATGTTAAAACTTGGCAAGCAAGTGAAAAGCAAGTGAGTGCAGAGCGGAAAAAATATAAAATTTATTTATGTTTTTTTAAAATTTTTTTTTTGTGTGAGAATAAGTTGGCCAACATATGGTTAAAACAAGCAAGTGAAAAAAAATATAGCTGTATTTCACTAGTATTAGATATTTGTATAATAGGTTCGGTACATAAAAATTGTAGAAATTTATTTTGGGGCTGTTTGCTGTGCAAATAATTGTGAATCTGTACAATCCAGTTTTTTTTGCTTTTTGTGCTTATCTCTTGATCAACTTAAGCCTACCCCAGATTTAAAGTAACAATGTAGTTACAAACTCACACTGAACAATTCAATTTGGTGCTAGCACCAAGAATCAACAGGGCTCATAAAATTATCATATTAATCAGCCATATTAAATAAATTCTAACCATTTAGGTTCAATTTCTTTAGGATTACCATTTTTTTAAAGTACCTTTTCATTGATAGAGGCTCCATTGGCAGTCTCTGTTGCACCCGCTCCATCTCCCTCTGCAGAGCTGCAGTTTCAAATGCTGTATTTAATTCTGGGCCTGCATTTTCTAAATAATTTTTTGTAGGCCTGTATCGACGGCATTCTTCTTCCACCATAGCCAAAGCCTATAAGATGATTATTTATATGACTTATTAACAATAAAAAGGGTAAATGTTCAGCACATTGACCGGCCCATATTGCAATTGAAAAAATTTTAAACAATGGAGAAAACTCACTAATGAATTAATCAACCAGCAGAATTCTCCAGTCACTTATAGTTTTCGAAAAAAATAAATAAATAGTGTTTTCAATATACACTAAAAAAAATTAATTATTTTCAATATACACTATTTAATTTTGTATATTTTCAATACAGAAATCCGCCACTTTGTTGTTGTCAATATTAAGTTAAGTTAATTCCGCTCCAGTTTCTGGGTGGTTATAATTTTTATTATTGTCAATTTTTTTTTTATTTACAATATGCTGAACATTTACCCAACTTGTAAAAGCAGATTGATGATGAATATAATAAGGGTGCGATCTGAAGTTACTAAAATAAAGTCACTAAACTTTTTTTTAGTTTATATACTTACTACATTAATTAAATTTAACCTTTAAAAAATTTTTTTACTATGATAGACCACATTTCAGCTAATCACCCCGCGAATAAAACTGTTATTTCGAGTAAAGAAATGCATAACAATTAAAGTAATAGTTACATACCGCTTCTCTAACACCGGGGTCATCATAACCTTGGTCAATATATGGTAGTGCATCCACAACAACTTCACCAGCCATTTTTCAAAATTTTTGTTCTTGGTATGGAACTGTTATTGGATTTATTATTTAGCTCTTAGATTAGAACCCCAACTACAATAAAAAACAGTATTTTGACTGTTGTTTTGTTATGTTATGACATGTGACATGACATGACGTGACGTTCTCGTATCGATATAGGGCCTAATGATGTCGAACTGCGACTCGAGTTATTTGATTCGAGTAACTCGAATCACGGTGCTCAGCGATGAAGGAAAAACACCGTGAGGAAACCTGCATATTTTCGAAATAATAACAAAAAAAAAATATTTCGAAGATATGTGTAGTCCGCCAATCCGCAATGAGGCCCCGTGGTGGACTATGCCCTGTTACCCTCTGTACAGAGGAGGCCTTTGCCCAGCAGTGGGACATGTATCGGCTGATACTTTACTTTACTTACTGTTTTTTACCATTTTAGGCTGACCCAAAGTTTTCACATAAACTTAAGCTTTCACATCAACACGATATCAAGTTTGGTTGCTAAAATCATCCGCCTCGTGAGGGTCTGGACTGGTGAGTTTTGTATACCAACGGTACAATGAATTTAATATTACAAATTTTTTATGAATTTAAATGGTATTGTCGGATATTGAAACATTTAATTTGATATTTCAGGCAGAATGCTTACACACTTGTTTCATGAGATAGTATTATTTTCTTGTTTTTTAAATTTTTGGTCAATTATGTCACTGCCCTGTCAGTTAGGCAGGTATTAGTGGGTATTCGTTGTTATTTTACTTTTATTAGAACTATTTTTTTATTATTGTTTATTTACGCCCTAAATAAAATGTAGTTTTTGTGTTTTCATTTAGACATTCAAATTTGTTTCAAGAAGGAGAGTTATTATTTTTACTAATTTATAGTTTTGGAATCAAACTTAAAATGCAACAAATTGTTAATAATGAAGAAATAGAAAATTTAGATTTAACCAAAGTAAGTACGATAATGAAATACAGTTATATTACAAAAAGATTCTTAAAAAGGTAAGTATTATATAATTTTTTTTTGTCATTTTATATATTATTTTCCATAATGTATAAAAATCCATTATTCAAATGTTTTGAAGTGATTCTGTTATAACTTAGATGTAATAAGTGCGATAAAAAGGCTTTGGATATCAAGGTTTTATGAGGAAATATCAAATAAAAACAAATATCTTGAGTGATTAGATATTTATTTGGCAATAAAAATAACTGCTATTAATATCCAGTTAAAGGGTAAACATATTATGTCACCTTTTATAAAATCTTTGAAATGTTTATACCTTCAGATTGCTGCTTTACAGCAAAAGCGGACACTGGCATTTGTCAATCATTTTATAATCACAACTGTGCAATTCTTGAATACCTTCTCAAAAACATGTGAAAATAAGCTTAAGCAGTTTGAAGAGAAGCTGGAGAAGGTTGATGCTGCCATGATCTTGTTGGAAGCGAGGGTAAATTATAGTAAATATATAATTTTAATCATATACATGGACAAAATCAACATCCTATTATAAGTTTGTTTAACCGTATACCCTACAGAATATTTTTTTTCATTATCAACAATTAACTGAATATTTTGCTTAATTATTAAATATCAGAAATATAAAAAAAATATCAGCTCCTACCTCAAATGTTATGAGTGGTTAATGGATTTTATTTTGCTTGCAAGAATCCTAAGTTTTTAAAATAATATCCTTGTTAATAATTAAAACAGAATAGCTACATGTCACTTATCATTTTTCATAAAATACTGTACTAGTATTTATATTTAACACACACTTCATCTGCTTTGATACTTTATGTATCATCATATAATTATACCTGTATATGAAATATCAATCAATTACAGCTATCTTCAATCCCAGAAGTTAATGATGTGAGTAAAACAGATGTAAAGGAGGAAATATGTGATAGTTCTCAAGAAAAACCCGAGGATTTAGAAGAATGTAGTGTGAATGAAACAATTTTAAATACAGAAGATAAAAAACAGGACACTGAAGGCTCCGATGTCAATCATACCATACAAGCGAAACCTGAATATTATAGATTTATAAAAATGATACAAGTGGGGGTGCCTTTGGGAGCTGTTAAATTAAAAGTATCTTTGGAAGGATTGGATCCTAAACAGCTTGACAGTTTGTTAAAAAAGTAAAATTATCTATCTTGACTTTTTTAAGATATATGAAAGAAGATTTAAATTGTGCATTATTCCTAAATTTATATATTTGTAAAAACAAGATAATAGGTTAATATTCTTGGATTGTAATTATTAACTGCACTTCATAGGATAATTTCTTATACTTCTGTGAACACACATTATAAAATGTTTTAAAAATGAATACAATAAATATAAGAAATAAAAGCCCAGATTACTTTTTTAGCTTATTTATTAGCCAGCCTAGAACTGGATCATCTGTCCCTTCCTCTTCTTGTCACCACCAAGCTCAAAGTGTTTGCAGCGCTTCAGCGCCACCTGGGATCGCACTTTGCAGTCGGCGCACTCCAAACGAAGCACAATTTTCTTTGTGGTTTTTGCCTACAAAACAAATATTACACTCCCACATCAGTATCAAAACTAAGGATAAATAAACTGATAACTATTTTTACACATAACAATTTTTAAAAATATAATTAACGTTTAAAAATCTAGAGTTTTAAAAATATAATTAAATTATTGATATGACTAGGTACTTTTGTTAATTAATACTTTGACTAACTAACACTTATTGCATTCAATTTGGTAGTATTGAAAGGCAATTGGAAAAAAAATCATTTTAGTAAGAATCAACACAAATATTATCTGATCAATTCTAATTCACCTTTTGATACTTTTCACATATTTCTATTAGTTTGTGTTGATTTGATTGACAAGGCTGATTTAATTTGTAAATGGCTGCACAATTTACAAATACATACTAAATGTGGTTCTTAGAATCAGTTTTATAATATATAGAAATTTGCTATTGCCGAATTTACCAAATACGAATATTCGACCAATAATTCGGAGAATCTTTAATTTATATGGTTTGCTCAAAACATCTACTAGTACTAACTATCTTGTAGTTTAAAAATGAAAATAGAGAAATAGACATACTTTTAAAAGAAGGAACACTGAATTAAAAACTAATTGTTTAATTACATTAGAATTTATAAACAAACCGTATCTATCGAAACTTACCAACAATATTTGTTCTATTTTGTAGCTTGTAAATCGTGATACTATAAAAATTGAAGTTTTTTTTAACACTTGGAAATCGGTAATTTAGGTTATGTTATTACCTTTTTCTTGAAGATAGGTTTGGACTGTCCACCATAACCTTGCTGTTTACGATCGTAACGCCTTCTACCTTGGGCAGCGTGCCTTTCTTTGGACTTTTTGTACTGAGACACCTTGTGAATCTTGTGGCACTTGCATTTTTTGCAGTAAGTTCTGCGCTGTTTTGGTACGTTCACCTGAAATTAGTTGTTGCCGAACATAAAAATACAAACACCATATCCAAAATATATTCTTTGCATTCATTTATAACAAAGAAACAATTCATTTTAGAGTACACAATCATAGATTTTTATAGATAAATAAAAGAATCGTGTAACACAAACCATTTTGGCGTTTTACTTTATCAGCCAAACGTCAATGAAAGAGAGAAAAAATAAGACTTGACTTTGAGAGATAATATCAGTGTTGAGTGTTGCTATAAAATGGTTGTTAAGTTGTTACACATATATTTTTTTATGTGTTGTTTGTTGATTGGTAATCTCAGATTTATACATACTCTTATGATGTCAACTCTAACCTGTATTATGTTTGAATTACTTTAAATTTGGAATGTTAGTTTTATTTTTCAGACTGAATTGTGTCATATTTAATTGATTCAGTAAAAATCATAAACGTAGTAATATCGTAAACGTAGTGATTACATTCTCTTTGGTAAAAATTGCTTAGAGAAGTAACATGTTTAGCTATCTGATATAACTTATATTTTACATAAATTTCATAATGATTACGTTTCGTATAAAATAAGTTCAAAATGTTTAAGTTGAAATGAATAGTTTTCTTATCAGTGTCTTATAAGTGACAATATAAGTGTCTTTTTGGCTTGAAAGTGATGCCATTATCCATTATATATGTCTATTAGTTTAGATTAGTTATCATATTTTTTAATCTATTAGTAGTTTAGATTAGTTTCAGTATATATGTCTTATCTATGCCATTAGCCACACCTACCATTCAAGAGGTTATGGGCAATATTTATATTTTTTGGAGTTTTTCAAGTTTTTTGAGCATAACTGACAATTGCGAGGAAATTTTCAAAGATGGACAAGCCCATCAAACCATTGTTAGAAAAAGATTCTAACTACCATAGCTGAAAAAAAAGATTACTTTGAAAATTATTGCTGCGAGTTTTGAAAAATATTTTGGAAAATAATGAGCAGACTGCGACCACCACAAGTGAGGAATTATCCATAAATGAAATGGAGGCATGGGTGGTTTAAATATTGAAGGAGATTTTTTACAAGAATTTTCTAGTGATGAAGAAGAAATAATAGAAAAATAAACAGTTGAAGAAGAAGTAACAATTGACGTTGTTGGGAATAAGGAGAGTGCAGAAACAAATGAAGTAGTTTGTGAGGAAACAGTTGAAGATGTGAGGAATGTGGGTTTTGTTGATGATCAAGAAGTTATAGAGAAAAATGAGATTTTGATGTTTTTTTTTTGATGCGAGTGGGGATAGAATAGAGGAGGTTGTTGATGTTTTTGACGTGGTTATGCAGAGGGTTTGAGTCCAGGGAGGGATCCACCGAGAAATAGGTCTTTATGAAGGGGAGACGGAGGTTGTTGCGGAGGGTGTGGGTCCAGGGAGGGATCCACCGAGAAATAGGTCTTTACCTGAGGGGTATAAGGTTTATGTTGTGGAATTTTTTGCTACGTGTTCACTTTTAACGTTTGGGGAGGCGGTTGACTCCGGTGAGAGGGAGAGATGGTTAATGGCTGTGGAGGAGGAGAGGTTTGTTTCTTTGGAGAGGAATGGCGCGTGGGAGTTGTTTGGTGAAAAAGAGGCTGAAGGGAGAAGGCTTTTGGCAGACAAGTGGGTCTTTACTGGGAGGTCGGATGGAGGATGTAGAGCTGGATTAGTGGTCGGAGGTTTTACGGTCTAAAACAAACTCCTTTGATGTGGAACATTGGTTTTATTGTCTTGTGATAGACGTTATTAAGATTTTTAGCTATTTTAATTCTAAACCTTTTAGTGTAGGTAGTGCTAATGTAAGGGGGTGTTAATAATACAGATTCGCGCAGTGGAAGCGTGCTGGGCCCATAACCTCTTGAATGGTAGTTGAGGCTAATGGGATCACTTTCAAACCAAAAAGACACTTAAGGACTGATAAGAAAACTGTTTATTTAAACTTAACCATTTTGAACTTATTTTAGATGGAACAATCAATATGAAATTTGTGTAAAATATAAGAGTTATGTTAGATAGCTAGACATTGTTTGCTATTGGCCCAGCGGATTGGTACCCGGCCCAATGGCAGCAAAGCGTTCGTAATCGACTAGATGGATAAATGCCTCACTTACAGGCTTAAGCTACAATAGGTGTAAAGTAACCTTCGGGGGATGCTGTTAGTTCGTAGCGTACTGCGTGTATGTTCTCACGTTTTCGGTGAACTTGCGTCCTTGCGCAAATTCGTTAAGCTCATGTCAAATGAAGTTATGTCAATAATTAGAAACCTCTAAAACCACTGTACATTATTTGTCTTCTAGAGAGGATATTTAACGTATTTCCTGACAGCTACTCCTTCCCCGATACGTGGAAGTAAGCATAAGTCATGAGCTTGCCTCAGCTGAATAGCCTAGAGACTTAGCGTCAAATTACCAACTCATTAGTATTTTTCTTGCCATGGGGAAAACTTCCAAGTGCATTCTGGCATGAATGAAAACATATCCAAACATTAGCTGTTAGCGACGAATAATTCTACTTTTAGTCTGGATAATTCAGCTAACTTTCGAATACCTTATCTTGCCTGCACCCAAGGGCGGATCCAGGGGGGGGGGGGTCATGGGGGTCATGACCCCCCCTGGGCTGAGTCTAGGACCTAGGTGGACCACTAATTAAAATTGTTAAACATAATGTTTTAATATCTTTTTTGCCACAATATAGATTTTATGTAAGTACCTTCAATATTTAATTAAATTAATATAATATTTTTAACAGACTTCAAAAAGAGGAGTTTCTCAATTCGATTGGTATATTTTTTTTCGATGTATGTACACCGATTACGTTGAGATTTATGATCCGATTTACGTGATTCTTCTTTAGTTTGATGCAGAATAGTTGCCATTTGGTCCCATAAAAATTTAACATAGTTTGGCCAAGTAGTTTTCATTTTATGAACATTTTTACAATATTTTCATTTTAAATTATCAAATCAATTCTTGCAAGTTAAATTTGATCTCCTTCCCGGTTACCGGTTGAGCTGAAATTTTGTATACATGTGTGAATCGCGAGACAATGCAACATTTTTATGACATGGTGCTGATCTGATGATGGATCTGGAAGGAAGGCCATAGGAACTTCGAATCAACAGACCCTCATCGCGTTTGGGTACATTTGGATAGTATTGACGAGTAGTTTGTCTTTCATTGGTAACCAGGATCTGATGATGGAGCTCCATCTTCAGCCGTCCATGGACATATGCATAGGGTTGCTGATGCGTTTTCTCATTATAATAAAGTGGGCTCCAGCTACCTCTCTCACCAGATAAATCGCAGAAGTACTTTACGCCGATCTTCTGTGAGGTCTATGAGGCTATTCTGTGAAGTTCCTATGACTACTCTGTAATGAAACGACTCAACCCCATAGAGTTTCGGTCCGTTTGATTCGTCTTGGCGAGTATTTAATTTTTAGATGGTAACCATTATCTGATGATGGAGCTGAAAGACAGTCATATGAACTCAGTAAAGAAACGACGCAACCCTATTGTGTCTCGGCTCGTTTGATTCGCCATGACGAGTTCTTTGGTGCTAGATGGTAACCAGGGTCTGATGACAGAGCTGGAATGTGGCCATAGGAACTCAGTAATTAAGGAACACAACTGCGTCGAGTTTGATTTGTCTTAATGGGTGTAGATGTGGTGGTTTAGTGGACGTGGGTATGCGAGACCATCTTTGGGAAATAAAGTTTTTTGTGAATGTGTATTCTATCTTTGATTAGATGGTTTAGAAGCGCTGAATATTATGAACGAATGAATGAATAAATATTTTTTTGTTATTTATGAACATTTTTTTAATGTGGACGATGTAGTTTTAGTTTGTGTACGACTATTTTAGGAGTTTTCATTTGGGTTGATTATATATTATTATTAAACCGTGTCCGGATAGTCCCGTCTTAGACTTGTCATTGAAGTGGAGCCAGCGTGCGGAGTAGAGGAGTAGAGAATATTATAACCAATACGACTACATAAAATCTGGTAACGGAGAAATAAATAAATAAATTATAGCTACTTAAAAAAATACTATACAGGGAGGCTTTTCTAAGTGTATCCTTTTTTTTTATCAATTTCTAAACATAAATAATTTTATATAAATAATGATAAATATTTAAAATCACTCGTAATTAATTAATTACATTCATTTGAACTTATCTCAGAAAGTGCGTGATTTATGGGCAACTCATTTATTTTACGCGCGATCATTCATAACAAACATATATGTATATACGACGCATTTATGAATGACTACCTCATTGTCAACAAGTTTGTTTTTAGGGAATAGAATGCCAATTTTTTTTAAATATTTGTTTTTATATCAATTAACGATCATACAACCGAGTCTGAACCTCCTGTGTGAATTTGGGCAACTTTATAAAAGCCACCTTGTATAATATATGATAGTAAAAAGCAACGAAATGTTACGAACAAAAAAGAATTTTGCAAATATCTGACGAAGGTATGCCCGAAAATACCTACATAAAAAACATAAACATCCGAATTGATTATCCATTCTTTTTTAAGTCGATTAAAAATAAGTACCTACTTTTTACTTGTATCTATGATTATAAAAATTAAATTAAATTACACCAAAGCTGAATCCGCCCTTGCCTGCACCCCTTGAGAATGGGTGTTCCAAAAGTATTTTATCCGTTCATCAATTCGCTTTATACGTGACTGCCCTAAAAACCATACGGTTGGATATTATACGTCGAAGACATGGCCACCTACGCGACCAATCGCAACAAAATTAGGATTATTATCCATATTCTGTTCACACTCTTAATGAAATGTCGACATGATATTTAAAAATAATAAAAATTCTTTAAAGTTCATTGGAAAAAGCTTTTGGTATGCCTCTCACATCCCCTTTGACCTTACATCGGAGACAGTGCCACCATACAAACGTTTTAGGTGATTGAGCCAAAGAATTGTCATGCATGTTAAGTAATTTATTTTCCCGTCACCATCTGATAACTATTCAGCCCAAGAACGGGGTCATAACTGAGAGACCGACTGATAAAAAGGCCAAATGGTTTAAGCATCGACATGGCCACGAGATGGCACACACCGCATTCACACTATCATACACCTGATAAAAAGCCTTCGCCTCGATTCGCATACTACACACGATATCCCTGTGTGTTAGGTCACTTTTGAATAGTACATAATCGATCCAAGCCGTGCCAAAAATTCAAATAGACGCTTGCGCAGTGCGCTGACGCTTGATTGTTCTTATGAAACGTCGAATTTTACTCAAAAATTGATGCTTATGTTCGGAAGTTACAACCGATTCGTAAAGCAGTTTCTATTGAGAAGAAACGTTCTGATTCGTCTGTCTGCGGAATCGGATCCAGAACATCCCCCTATTTATGTAAGAGCAATTAATTTTTTTTTTGAGTATTATATAAATGTTTATTAGAACATTAATTAAATCATAGATATAATTATATAATTTAATAAATGATATAATTTAAATTTTCAAAATATTGTTGATAGTAAATAATTTGAATGACTAAAAATACTTTCGACAAGTGCCTTAAATAAATTTAAAAAGTTATTTCGCGCCAAAACAAATCTTGCTTTAAAGTTTGACAGACAAAGTAGAAAAAAAAATTAAACTAGCTAATAAACATATGTATTTTTTGTTTAAACTTGTAAAATATCTCTTTATCAAATAACTTAATACAAGGTTTAAGTATACAGTTTAGTTACAGGATTCGAAATGAAATTTTCGATCCCCGAAATATCATGGCATAATAGGGACCCTGTTTTAAGTGTAGATTTTCAACCTAAACGCGAGGCTAATGAACCCTTGCGACTTGCTACTGGAGGAACAGATTCTCACGTATTAGTAAGTTTTACTCTAACTGGGTCGATTTCGACGGTTTCACGACTTTTTATTATTTAAACCGTATTTATCAGCTGTTTTGTAAATTATTTCAGTTATTTGTACTGTTTTCACATTTGCTTGTAAATTATAAATGATGAAATTATTATGATGCTTTTATAGATATGGTATATTTCAATCACAGACACTGGTTCTGTTAAGTTGGAAGTAGCGGCTGATTTGACGCGGCATCAGAAAGCAGTAAATGTGGTGCGGTGGTCACCAGATGGGAAGTTCTTAGCTTCAGGCGATGATGAATCGATTATATTTGTATGGAAACAGAAGACTGAAGAGTCAGCCCCATCATTGGAGCAAGGAGAAGAGCAATACAAAGAAACATGGGTTGTTCACAAAGTAGGTTGAAAATGTAGTAACAGAGTTACATACATTTGATATTGTACTTTATGAAAATTCATTTAAAAGAATGGAAAGTTGATTTTTGGTTTATTTTATAAAGTCTAGTGAATTCATATGTTACAGACTCTACGAGGTCATGTAGAAGATGTTTTAGATATAAGCTGGAGTTCTGACTCTGCTAGCCTTGCATCTGGTTCAGTGGACAATAAATTGTTGATGTGGGATGTTGCCAGAGGCCGATATACTTGTATTTTGACTGACCATAAGGGCTTTGTACAGGGTGTCGCCTGGGACCCAAAGGGTCAGTTTATTGCTTCAACTAGCAGTGATAGGTTTGTATCAATCATAATATTGCATATTGTAGACATAAATCTTATTTCGTAAATAAATCACAGTGAAATATATTTACCGTTATCTAAATAAGCCAAATGCTCTAATTTGGCCTACAGTACAGATAAATTTTTGGTATTTGGACATATTTTATTGTAAAATATATTATTTTTATTTTTGATACAATTAATTTGCTTCGTTTTCAGAACTTTTCGTGTTTTCGACGTTGCTACAAAGAAGGTTGTGTCAAGGTGCAGCAAGGCAATTCTGCCCTTTCCTAAAGACCATCCATTATATGAGTTAAAAGTCCGTCTATTTCACGACGACACACTGCAAACGTTTTACCGGCGGCTGCAGTTCAGTCCTGATGGGCTGTTTGTGGCCGTACCTGCCGGGCGCGTGGAGCCTGAACAAGGCAAGATTGACATTAAGCCAATGAATGCAGTCTATATATACACCAGGTATTGCTTGAAGGTGCCGGCGTGTGTGGTTCCGTGCGGCGAGGCGGCGCTGGCTGTGCGCTGGGCGCCGGCGCGGCTGGCGCTGCGACCGCACGGGCCACCACCCGCCTTTGGGGCTTCGCCCTCCCGCCTGCTGCTGGCCATAGCCACCAAGCGCTCTGTTCTCGTGTACGATACGCAACAGAGAACGCCCGTCGCGCTCATCTCCAACATACACTATACAAGGTGACATTTTTATGACTTACAATCCTATTATGTAACTTGTAAATTTAAAGAGCTTTGCAGCAGCATGAATGGGCAGGCTTGTCTGGGAAATTATGGGAAACATGGCCTCACACTAGACCAGCATGAAGTCTTGTGAGGTAACCGGGCTAACTTTTAATGGTAGGTGAAGAAAGAGAAACCGAGGTATTGATGTTGGTGTCAGAGTGCAACTGATAATCTAAAATTTTGTATTTCCAGTTAAATGTAAATGCAGTTTTATGTTACATTTACATTATAAATATCACAAAAAATGAAATATAATGAATCCTAAAAATTCTCCAAGCTTGTTTTGAATTAAATTTGTTTATTATATATGAGTTGTTAATCAAGTCTATGATGCTTCCAGACTGACAGACTTAACATGGTCGCCGGATGCTCGGGTGCTGGTAGCCTCTAGCACCGACGGTTTCTGTTCCGTCATCACATTCTCTGAAAATGAATTGGGGCAGATTTTACATGAAAAAACCAACAATGAAGCCAACATAGGTTTGTCAGTTACACAGTAAATAATGTAATATACCATTACATTATTTTATTCTCAAAGTTGCACAAAAAGACAAATTGGCATGCAAGTAGTAATAAATAAGATTTATTATTATTAAGTCTTCATAATATGTTAACTACCTTCTATAAAAATTTTATTTTAATCTTCTAAATACCATTTAAAATTACGATGTTAATATAAAGATTAAATTTTTACATCAAAGTAAGCCACAATGTAACCCCTACTAACCGTGGATGTTATTTCACAATTTTTTTTATGCTCTTTCAGAAGCAATGGAAACACAGAATGAAGAACAACCGCTAAAGGATAAAGACGAGACTAAGAACAAAAAGCCTGATGAAGTGAAAACGCAGAATAACACACCGAAAATAGATTCTTTCATCAAATTCAAAGCGCCAGAGAAGTCACCCAAGAAGCAGAAAACGGACAAAACGGTGCAAGAAAAGACACCGGTGAAAATAGACTTGCTAATGGAGACAGCAATGTCTTCCTGGTCCGACAACTCTAGCAGTGATGTCATTAAACCTAAGCCCTGTCAACCCATGGAGGTTGACGGCCCGAAGAAAGCTGACACTGAAGTGATGGTGATAGACGATAGCGAGGACATGAAGTGGGTCTATGAAGATACGGAGGGAAACAAAACCCAGAGTCCAAACTTTAAAACCAAGAAGTCCCAGGAGGACGAAACTGAAAAGAGCACATCGCCAACGCTAACAAACACCCCGATCAACTCAAATAAACCCAATGAAAGCAACTTCCTCAATCAGGCAAAGGTGACGGACATTAAAGAGTCAGTAGTAATGAAGGCAGTGCAGAGTCCGAAGGCGCCGCGCCGAGTGAGCTTCGTGACGCTCTCCAGCCCCAAGAATAAGAAGACTTAATATTTTGTATTCATTACTTGTACCCTATGCATCGCCTTCCATTTGGCTTATACCACCTATGTTGTTCTTTTCAAAAACATTTACCTTAAATGCAGGGCATAATTCCGTCTGTACTGTACATACATGTATAATTACTCAATTGTTAGATTAAACTGCGGTCGAAACGGACTTGCTATTGGAAAATTATTTAAATGTTCATTTTGATATTTCGAGATCCTAGTTCTTTATCTGTATTTATTTACATATTTCTTCATTTAAAAGTCATACAGAAAATTTTAATTGCACAACTATAATTATATACAGGGAGATTTTTTAGAAGTGCCCAAATTTACACAGGAGCTTCAGACTCGGTAGTATAATCGATTATTGAAATAAAAAACAAAGTTTTTTTTTCCAAAAAAAATAATGCCATTTTATTCCCTAAAAACAGAACGTGTTGACAATGTGGTAGTCATTCATAATTACCTTAATTTTAGGTTTAAAGAATTTATTCTCATAAAAACACAAAGTTTACATAAAATGACATACGTTACAAGATACGACATATAGTTCATTTTAACCTCTTTAGCATTGTGGAAGACGAAAGCAGTAATATTACTTTGGGGGTAGATGAAAGTATAAAATATCAATAAGCAAGTTGCGTTAAGGGTGAGGTCACATTAAATTAGTACAATATAATTTTATAAATTAGGTACATTACAAAACAACGAAAATAAAGAAGAAACGAAAGAAAGAAAATATATATCTATACATGTATATATGGTCCATATACTGGAGTTTTCTTGCAAGTAGTTCTTAAGTTTCACTTTATAAATATTTATTTTTTCACACTCTTAATTCATTAGGTAAGTTATTGTAAAGCTGTACTCCCTCAAATAATACAGTTTTCCTTCCGTAAGTAGTTCTTACTCTTGGTAAGATTATTTTATGTTTATTTCTTAATCGTTGGGCGAATTCGTGTTTTTGTAGTTGTAAATTTGAATGAATGTCCTTAGTAGTAATTTTTTTAATTAAAATGCAAGTAATATATATATATATATATATATATATATATAACTGCCGCAGATTAAGTAATTTAGTTTTTTTATACAGTTGTACTGTTGGTGTAAGGTAGTGATAGTTATATAATCCTTTTATAATCTTATTTTGTGTACGTTGCAATGAGAGTAAATTAGTTTTAGCTGCCAATCCCCATATTTCGATTAAATAGTCAAGGTGTGGTTTTACCAAAGAGTTGTATATAATAGTCCTTACGTGATTTGGGATACAATTCGTTATTCTGCGTAATGCTCCTAGCCACTCATTGAGCATATCTAAATCTTTTTGGGCGTTAGCTATAATATTACTCATCGATTTATCGAAGTAAAATAGACATGTGTCGTCCGCGTACAGAGTTAGGTGTCCTGTAAGTCCTATTCTTTTAATACTATTTATGTTATCAAAAATAATGTAGGACCGAAGATTGAACCCTGCGGGATTCCAGATGTCACTATTTCGGCAGTACTAGTAAAATCATCAATTTTTACTATTTGACAACGATTTTGCAAGTATGTTGAAAACATATCAAGAGCGGTGCGTACGATACCGACATTTTCTAGCTTCTGGAGTAGTTTTTGGTGACTTATTGTATCAAAGGCTTTTTTAATATCGATGAAGATGCCTAAAGCAAATTTTTTTTTATCAATGTGGGTTTTTATCTTTGTCACTAAATCAATAGCAGCCGTGAGTGTACTGGATCTGGAGCGAAAACCATACTGTTCATCAATCAAAACTTTTTTGGCGGTCAAATAATTGTTTAAGCGGATGTATATGACTCGTTCAAAAATTTTAGACAGTACTGGTAAGACTGAAACTGGTCTGTAATTACTCGGATCGTCTCTGAATCCCGATTTATATATAGGACTGACCTTAACAACTTTGAGTGTGTCGGGGAAAACCCCGAGTTTTAAACACTTGTTAATACAGTTGGTTAGACTTTCAAGGATAACACTTTTTAAGCATTTGATAGCTTTGGTGCTGATTCCATCCAAGCCTGTACTAGTGTTGCTATCGAGACTATCGATAATTTTTGATATTTCACTATTAGTACATGGAATAAGTTCACTTAATGTTATGTCGTGTATATAATTTGAGTCGTACGTTAGTGTGTCAGCTGTATTTAAGTGGTATCTGTGTGGTATTTGCTCTGCAGTTCGCAGCTCTCAGATCGCATTGCCTTCCGTTATGATAGTTGCATTGTATACTAATTTTGGAAGAGCAGCACTTTCCTTAATTTTATTTATCGCTAAGCTATTAATAACCTCCCACATTTTTTTCGGATTTCTACGGCTGTTGTAGAAAAGATTGTAGAAATAAATACTTTTGTATGTATTGATGAGCCCCTTAACTTTATTCTTCTCTTGAGCAAAGTTCTTATGAACCTTTTCATCATTAGGGTTAAGTATAGATTCCTTCCATAAGTAATTCCGTGTGTTTATTGCGTTGATAATGGTTTTGTTTATCCAGTCCTTCTGGGGGGGATTTAGAATTTTTGTTTTCTGTATTTTACAAGTTTGTACGATTTCTGATATAAAGTTTTCAAAGTAGTCATAGCAGTTATGTTCATTTTTGTAATTAACTTCAAATATTTTGTTGGATGTTTTATATAGGTTTTCGTAGTCAATTGCTGTGTAATAAACTTTTTTATGTATCTCCGGTTTCATTCTACCAATCTCTAGATATACTTGCTTATGATCAGAAAGTGATGAGTCAATAATCGATAGTTTAAATGAATGGTTGCTCACATTAGTACATATATGGTCTATTATTGTGTTTGTTGTGCTGGTTTCCCGTATACTGTATAATATATTAATTTAGTTTAGTATTTCATAACCAGACTCTTCGATTTCTTTTACGTACTGCTTAACATGGTTGCAGTTTCTATTCAACAAATTAATATTGAAGTCACCAAAAACAATCGTTCTTTTACGTTGTTCCAACTGCTTTGTATAAAGCTCTAAAAAGCTGCTAATATTTGATTCTCCAGGTTTATATATTGCTCCTATATTTAATGATAATTTATTTATATATATCCATAAGTAGTGATTCCCATTTTCGGTTAGTTCCTCAGTTACTTCGCATTTAATACTATTATGTACATAAATAGATACTCCCCCACCCCTGCAGTTATAAATGTGTTTATAATTTGGCAGTTCGTATAGTTTGGCATCACTTTCTGAAGTGATCCACGTCTCAGAATCCATTGTGTTATACAAATTGATTTAATTGCGGTAGGACCACGCAACAGTTTTCACTGTTGCACGAATGGGCAGGTCCGTCCAAGTAAGTACCAGAACCTCCCAAAAGACAGGCGTAAAGTAGAAGTGTTACACTTCTGCGTTTCGTCTGGTGAGTGAGGTAGCCGGGGCCCATTTATTTAAATTTGGCAACGCATTTACAACCCTACGGTGACGCAAATGTCCATGGGCGACGGTTATTACTTTACATCAGGCGAACCGCCAGCTCGTATGCCACTTTTTTACATTAAAAAAACAAGTTTTTTTTTTGTATTTACCTAGAAAATACCTTATAAACCACAACTATAAACTATATTAAATACTTTTCTGCTTTGATAACTTTCCCGTGTGTACGTTGGTACATCGTGCGGATTTAAATTAAATCCCCACCACGATGTACCACCATACATTACTGATGGCGTTACGGGGCGAAATGTAACATGTTACACAGCGAGCGTTTTTGCAGTCAGCACGGCGAAATAAGGTATGCATCGTGGCAAAGATCGGCTTTTTCCTTGCTGCGAGTGCTTCGCTCCGCTGTCAGTTTTTGGCAAATTGAGTGTTTCGCGCTTTAGTTAGTAACACTGTTTGATATTCTGTAGTTTGTATTTATTATATGTACTATTGGTCCAATCAACTCACGAGTTCTTCAAAATCAATCGTAGACATGCTGATAAAGTTTTTGTATTGTCCAAGAATCCTTCGGTTTTCAAGAGTTATTTCCATTGCCTCAAGGCTCAAATTTTTTCGTCCCATCTATCGCTTTACACAGCCAAACGCCGAGTAGGTTTAAATTAAAACATAAAAAGGCGCTCACATAGTTCGCATCAGCGAACTGTGAGGCATTAATATTAAATTTGTTAATTATTTTTTAATCGATATGTATCTAAAATAGACAGACTTTTTAATATGATTGATGTTTGTATTAAAAACGTCAGACAGAAACGTCATATAAAAAAGCGAAATTCTTGACAATTTTAACACCCATTATGTTATAGGATCAACAAAAAATAAAGTATATTAAATAAAACAATTTTCACATTTATATTTATATACTTTTTATATTTTCATGGTATATCACAAGGATTGTTTTTTACAGTCTATGAGTGTAGTAAAGCTAAGGGAACAATCACATTTTCAATGCAGAATATAAGATCTATAGGTGCACTAACAAGTTAAAAAAAAGCATAATATTAAACAAATGATTTTAAACAGTGTATGCTTACACATAGACTAAATTTCATCTTATGAAGATTTATAACTGAAGATAAAATTACAAATGCAATAATATCCATCATTCAATTCCTTAATCTAGAAGACCATTCTAATAGTTGCAAGGTTAACAGAGATACACGCACTTAGTTCTTATATTTAATCTTGTCTGCTAGGGAGCAGGACAAACCTGTTCCATCAGGTTCCACATTCAACTCTTGAACTTTACCATCATTGATCACCATAGAAAAACGTTTTGAACGGAAACCCCCCAATGGTGGTAAATTAGTACCCAAATCCAAGGCCTTGATGAAGTTTCCATTGGGATCTGCTAACATCCTAACCTAAGGGCAAAAATAATTGTTTCTTTAGATTGATGACAAACAGTCATTTTATTAATTATGACTGCTAATATTAGTAAATTATTGTAATTATAATAAAAAAATGTTTTGAGTAAATTAAAATTTAGTTTTTATTTTGATAGAATGCAAACAAATAATATCCAATACATCTATAAATTACACAAAGACCTCTCAATATTATATGAAGCATATCCTGACCCACCTATAAGCAGCATGCATAAATTACGGTATAAATAATGCATACATACTTGATTTGGTATTAAAAGCGAAAAGTTATCTACAAAGGTTAAAGTTCATTGCCACTTGGAAATAAATATTTATATAAACCCTTAACATTTCTAGAACTTTCTTTATATATTTTATGTTACACCATTTCAAGTTTACGAAATCAGTAAAACACAGAATAAATATAGGTTATGGAGTTGAGTTGGTTATTGCCAGCTTTAGTGATATAAGGATATAAAATGTATATTTGTTTCTTACCTTCCCCTTAGTATTATGCTGTGCACCCCAGGCAGCCATCACGTAGGGATCGTTTACTGAAACGCACACAACTTCACCGACGCCATCTGCCTTCATTTTGTCGGCATTCTGGACGTAACCGGGCAAATGAGTTTTAGAGCAGCCGGGAGTAAATGCCCCCGGTACGGCAAACAGAACCACTTTTTTTCCCGAAACTAACTCGGCAATGTTCACTTTATTTGCCGGCGAGTCCTCGAATAAATCCACGGACGGCAAAGTATCACCAACCTGCATTGTAATGTAAATGTCAATTATGCCGGCTGTTACATAATTAAGAAGAGGTAATTCTTAATCTTAACTTACCTGAACGGGAGCCATTCTTAATAGTGTTGTGTGTATCGCTCGAGAGCTACCCTTGACGACTGCAACAACACCGCGGGTGACCGAAGTAGCCGTGCGAAACATTTGTACTTGACCGCTGACTAAGTAGGTATTTATAAGTATTATCAATTATCATCGACTGGTTTTGACTTTTGACACTGACACAGACTATGTAACACTAACAGACAATGACGTAAGCACTTACAAAGATATAATTATTTGATTTATATGTAGTGACAACATTTTTTAAATTAACAATTTCTTTTCTTAAGATTTTTTTGTAGTGTAGTTTGCTGTAAGCCTGGTAACAGGTTCGTAGGCAAACGACTCGTGAAGTGAGTTCAACAAAGAGCGACAACTCGATGACGCCATCTGCTGCACTGCAACTACCGTATCTGTTTTAACAAAAGATGGAAAAATTCACTAATATACTAAGGGAAGTCAAAAGAAGTAACAAAGTTGAAATTGTGATTTAACCACGAAACATTACTACATCGTCGTACGACGTCAGCGAGTAAAACGAGTACATCGTGCTTAGGCTGCAAATCGTAGACCTCACGTTAGCCGGTGAACGTGCTGCTTACCTGTACTTTTAAAGTGTCGGACCCGTTCGAGCTTTTATTACTGTGTCCTCGCGGCAACGCATGGGTCGGTTGAAAGATAATTAAATGTCATCGGGATTGTAAAACTTTTGGTTTGATTTTGTCTCGACTGTACTGTCCGAGGGAGTACAGGATAATACTGAAAGCTTTAAACAACGGTTTTATATGGGTATTGATTCTTTTAAATATCTTATGTACGCTTCTTAATAGAAGGTGGAGAGATGTAAATCGTTACGCAATTCAGCATTCATATTGTCCCAATTAAATGTCCCAATTAAACTACCCTTAAAATTTGTAGAAAAAGTACGAAAAGATTGTCGTCACTGTGGGAATCGAAACCACGTCTTCGGCATTCACAGCCTGACGCTTTAGCCACTAAGCTAAGCGGCTGATAATTACCTTTTCTACAAATTTTAATGTACAATCTTAAGTGCAGAGATTAGCACTATAATAAATTTAAAATAATCTACCCTTAATTTATATTTATACCATAAAATAGGATAGCGGGCTTATTATATCCTTCAGCTATATTTTATATTTTCATTTATGCATTATTTTTGTCAAACATATACATTACATGTTTCTATTAAAACAAGCGGTAATTATCGGTTTTTAAGTAATCTGCTGTAAAATCGGCTTTGAGACAAGACAACCCTATTATATTAAATAAATGTGGTGCTACAATTTCGTTTGACGTTGCTTGTTTGACTATTGCTATATTCGTTATTTCCGAAGTGTTAATATGATAAAAATTGGATTACATGTTTTAAAACAAAGGCGTTGAGATTATTTCTCGACTAATTAATACATGATGATGGAGGCACCTTCTATGGATACTGTTTACCAGGCTATCAGTGCTCTGTACGATAACCCCAATGCAAATGAAAAAGAAAAGGCTTCTATCTGGCTCGGAGATGTTCAAAAATCTGTTAGTATTATGAAGATATTTTACCATAGGTTTCTTAAAGTAAGAAATTGTTTCAATCGATTACTTAATTTTATCGTATTGTTTTTTTTTAGATACACTCATGGAAAATTGCAGACCAAATTTTACAAGAAAAAAAAGATGAACAGTCTTGTTATTTTGCCGCACAGACAATGAGATCAAAAGTTCAACATAACCTCTCAGAATTGCCATCTGAAGCGGTGGTGTCCCTCCGAGATTCCTTAGTAGCTCATTTAGAAAATGCTGCGTCCGGCACAAGTAATGCTATACTCACCCAGCTTTCTCTAGCTCTTGCAGATCTAGCTCTACAGATGCAAACATGGCAAAACTGTGTCAGTGACCTTATAAAATTGTTTTCCTCCAAAAATGAATTTGCATTACTAGAAATATTGACTGTTTTACCTCAAGAAATTGATTCAACTAACCTTAAGTTGGGGGAGAACCGTAGAGAGGAAATAAAAAATGAATTGAGAGCTAACTCAAATTTAGTATGTTTATTTTTAAAAGAAAGTATAACAAATTCTCAGAATTCACAAGTTGCATTGAAAATTGTAAAATGCATGACATCCTGGATACAAGTCAGAGCTATTAATATACAGGAGGTACCTCAAAATGCAGTTATAGGTTTTTGTTTGCAAGTGTTAAGGGATCACAATTCGATTAATTTGCTACATGATGCGGCATCAGACTGTATCTGTGCATTACTGCATTGTTTAGAGGGAAATAACAATAATGAGGAAATTGAGAGGTTACTGTTTGATAGTATAGCATCTTTAGAAGAATGCTATCACATGGCTGTGGCACATGAAGAAGAGGAGAAGGCGGTGAATTACGCTAAAGTGTTTACAGAGTTGGCAGAAACATTTTTGGAGAAGATTGTGTATTGTACAGCAAGTGGTAGAGTTCACTTTGCTATGAGGTCTCTGGAATTAGCTTTGGTTTGTGTTGGCCACCATGATTATGAGGTAAGTAAATGTTTCTTTTCAATAACCGTAAATGAGTATGAACAGAATGAAAATTCATTACAACAAGATAATTCCCATCTTTACAACTATACAAATAATGCAATATGAGCATCACCTTTTTAAATATTGCATAAATCTTTGCAAACGGTAATTTTTGCTCATTTTCCATCATTATTCATGTACTTTTTGGCTACAGCATAATGTTTTGTGGAAGGGACATGCTTTGTTCTGCAGTTTGCACATATGGGCATTCTAACCTGGTAAAGTACACAAGACCGGTGACTTTTGCATTGTACTTGTTGAATGAGGTTTCCAGGGTCTCCTAATTTAGATTTGCATTGCATGTACAATCCTACAGGTATAGATGTCTATGGGTTCCGTTAATCACTTAATATCAGGAGAATTATCTTGTTGATCCCTTTTTGAAATTAAAAATGTAACTAATGTTTCCAGTGTCCTCAAGATTCATATATTAATTTTCAGGTAGCAGAGATAACCTTCAATCTCTGGTATAGGTTGTCAGAAGAGGTGTATCAGAGAGATCAACAGCCCCTTACGGATGCATTCAAGCCACACATAGAACGGTTGATTGAAGCGCTTGCTCGACACTGCCAGTTTGAGCCAGACAACACCAAGTTGCCTGATGAGGGTGATGAGTTTTACGTGAGTTTTATTTAGAATTAGACTGACTAGTTACTGAATTTATTGGAATATTATATTATTTTGTATAGTTATAGATTGGCCAAACATAGAAAACAATTTATTTGTTATAGCTAGGAACTGAGAAAAATATATTAAAAGTACAACTGAATAAATCTTAAAGCCTTTCAAGGTATATTAAAAAATATAGCTTATAACATAAATGACTAAGATGGATGAAAATAACTCTTGCATATATAGCGTGTCGTTACCATCGCGACAATAAATGAACACACGTCTAACGCTACTTGCCAATAATCATAAAAAAATATTAACGTTAAACAAAATCCATAATTAAAAAAAAATATTTTTTAAACAAACTAATTAAGTTAAAAAGAAACAAAATTTGTAACATCCTATACAACTCGCGCCACAGCGTCGCATTACAAGCTTCTCCTTCTAACAGTATGTTTTGTCTCTTTTAAATTCATTCAACCCATTCATATGCTTTGTGACCTTTACATGACAGTTTTATACGTAAGGATGTTCTAAAATTGTTTGTTTTGGAAAATTTTATAACTCGGTAAATATTGATGTTTCAAGGATGTAAATGTTGACTACTATTTTTAAAAGTTATCCTCTATATGCGTGTTTATTTATTGTCGCGGTGGTAACGACACGCTGTATACCCTGGCCATTGCTTCTCTGTATTCTTTTAACTTTCGTATGTTTGCGTCTTATAAAGGGTATAAAAACTTATATTTGTTACTTATTTCAAGCTCGGCGAAACCAACACAACGCGTACACTAGATACACCAGCGTTTCAGGGCGGTTCTCACCGCCCCCAGCCACCGACTAACCAAGCACAGTCAACGGCCATCGGGGTCACGGTCCGCACCGAACCTCGATGGCCCGTAGGCGACACGCCATAATTAACGCACGCATGAGTACATGCGCAGCCCTACCCACTGAGGAGGGCCTCAAACCCGTGAATTCTAGCTGGCCCAACCGTTCTGTGTTCGATGAAGCTTTAAGGGTTTCTAAGGGCTGAAAGTGCAACATCAGTTTACAAATACTGTATAGTGTATTATTAATTGCCATACGCATTTTGTGTTAGATTTCAATGTTCAATGTTTTAAACGATTTTTGAAGTGAAACTTCTTTATCGGGGTTGGAAAAAAATTTTGTGTAACATTTTTGCGTTACGCGCCATCTTGTTTATATGGTTAAGCTTTTAACAACAAGCATTACCTTATAGGATTTTCGGATGAAAGTGATGGAGCTGATCAAGGATGTGGTGTTTATTGTGGGTTCGAGTGCGGTGTTCCGTCAGATGTTTACAGCTCTACAGGCAAACATATCCTGGGAACAAACAGAGGCTGCACTGTTTATCATGCAGGCTGTCGCCAAAAATATTCTGCCGTGAGTGTAAATGTGATTATATAATATTTAGCACAAGTTATTATATAAAATACTTAAATCAATTTTGTTTTAAATGTATATGTAACAGTAAATGTAAATGAGATTGTCCGTTCATGAAGGGACGAGCACGAGTACGTTCCGAAAGTGGTGGAGGCCATCCTGTCGATGCCCGAGGACAGCCACGTGGCCGTGCGGCGCACGTGCATCATGCTGCTCGGCGAGCTGTGCGAGTGGATCGAGCGGCACCCCGCGTGCCTGCAGCCGTGCCTGCACACGCTGGTGCGCGCGCTGCAGCACCGCGGGCTGGCGCCGGCAGCGGCCGCGGCGCTGCAGAGCGTGTGCAAGGCGTGCCGCGCGCAGGCCTCGGCGCACGTGGCCACGCTGGTGGCGGCGGCGCGCGCGGCCGACGCGGCGCCGCAGCCGCTGGCCGGCCAGGCCGGCGCCACGCTGCAGCGCGCGTTGGCCGCCGCGCTGGGAGCGCTGCCCGCCGCCCAGCTAGCCGCCGCCATGCGGGACGCGGCGGCCGGCCAGCTGCAAGCGCTGCGCGCGCTGCTCGCCGCGCCGCCCGCCGAGCTGCGCAAGGGCACGCGCTCGGACCCCGTGCTGTGGCTGGACCGGCTGGCGGCGCTGTTCCGCGACGTGGACGTGCCCTCCGCGGCGGCGGCGGCCGAGCCCCACCCCTGCATGCCCGCCCTGGAGGAGTCGTGGCCCGTGCTCTACGACGTCATGAAGAAGTACGTACCGCCCGCATGGTCCGGTGGGATTTTTCCATAGCGAAACATGATAGAACTCACAATCGGCAGTATGCCATGTCACATCGACTCTTGTTTATATCTTGTACTTGAAACGTTCCGAGTGCATTAGAGAAGCCGAAAGGCACGATTGGCACGCGCCAGGTGGGTGGGCGAGGCGCGCGTGATGGAGCGCGCGTGCCGCTGCCTGCGCTTCGCGGTGCGCGCCGTGGGGCGCGGCTGCGTGGGGCTGATGCCGCAGCTGAGCCGCGTGCTGCCCGAGCTGTACAACGAGCGGCCGCACGGCTGCGTGCTCTACCTGTGCGGCGTGCTCTGCGACGTGGTGGGGGCCGAGGCGGCGGCCGAGCTGCTGGCGCTGCTGCACGCGCTGCTGCCTCCCGCGCTGGCGCTGCTGCAGGCGCCGGGCGGCCTCAAGGACAACCCCGACACCGTGGACGACCTGTTCCGGCTGTGCATACGGTGGGTGCCGCCCCTCGGTCGCCTGCCTTACCGGCAGCGGTGAGGCCTGGATCGACTTTGCGGTGACGCTGCGCAGGTACCTGCAGCACGTGCCGGTGGCGCTGCTGTCGTCGGGCGCGGCGCCGTCGCTGCTGCAGTGCGCCGCGCTGGCCAGCCGCCTCGACCACCGCGACGCCAACTCCTCCGTGATGAAGTTCCTCTACGACCTGCTGCGCTGCGCCAACGACGCGGACGCGCAGCCCGACAAGCGCCAGATCAAAGGTTACCCATATTCGATATAACAATCAACTTTGCAAGTCAAATTATGCCTCTTGAAGAATCTGTGTATGATAATAGCTTATTGCCAGTATTCTCTATAATTCCTTGTCACCTAATTTAAAAGCTCAGGTGTCTCTTAAGGTGTAATTGACAAAACGGCACAGTTAGTTAATGTCAAGTGTATAGAGTATGAAAGAGACCTTTTTACATAATTTCAAATCTCAACCTACAAGATTTAAACTCCCCTAGAGTTTTGCCCTTTTCATTAACACACTTATAACACACATATATATATATATATATATATATATATATATATATATATATATATATGTATATAACTTTAAATTGACGATTAATTGAAACGACACATGTGGTGATAGTTTCATCCACATTCACATCTGGTGATAGTTTATATCTAAAACATGATGACATGGGGATAATGTGTGTTGATTGTGCAGAGTTGGCGGACGAGGCGCTGTCAATGTACGGCGAGGAGCTGACCTATGCCCTGATGGAAGCGTCCGTGCTGCACCTGCACCCATACATGCTGGGCGAGGTGGGCGAGGTGCTGCTGGAGCTGGTGGCGTGGCAGAAGGCGCGACATTTGCCGTGGCTTCACTCGGCTCTGGCGCGGCTGCCACACGACCGCCCCGCCACTGCCACCGAGCAGCAGTGCTGGCACTTCCACCAGTACGCGATGAGGTAACAAGCAACTTGATTCTCATCTTGTATTTAGAAATATAATTCCCAATAACGTGTCTGCCGTTGAATATATTTTATGTATGTATTGCCTTGTGTATGTATTTTATTTTTAATTAATAGTAATCAATTCATTTACAGTAAATTGCATGTATTTTTGTTTAAATGGTATATATGCATTAACAGTTTATGAAGAAAGCAAACACAGACTTCAAATTAAATATTGAGTATTAATAAAATCAGAAAGTTATGTCACTCAATACAGTCTTCTTTCTCGAATTGTCCTTCATTCTTTTTCCCTTATCTGTGCACCCTACTGTATATTGCTATATATTCATAATTTAATTTATTACTTAGTATATTTTGGTATATTATATATATATATATTATAATATGTTAGTTAAAGATTTGTAACTGAACTTGTAACAATAACGCTTCGCGTGGTTTATCAGTTTCATAATCTAGTAAATTTAACCATTCTTATTGCAGAGCCGAAAAGTGCAAGGAGATGACGAAACTGTTGCGTGAATTCGCAAGACTGTATCGATAGACTAAGCGACGTGAGTACCACGTAATAAGACTTGTTCATGTATCTTGCACGAACATAGACCACAGCGCAACTCAAAGCGTGGCCTATAGAATATATATACAGAATACAATAGCATATTGTAAATGAAATAAAAAAAATCACTATGAAATTCTTTTTTAATGTACCAAGTGTTCTCACATTCAAATGGCGTATAGTGAAAGTTTACGTTAGGTAAATGTATCAATTTCACATGATGGTGAATACATAAAATTATATGTAATGGCGAAATGTGTTTTGCAACGGTTTGTGAGTGAAAAAAATTTGAATATTTTCAATATTTCAAAGTTCGGGTTTGCTATAATTTACTACAATAAAATTTCCATATCAACAGTAATAATGTTATCGTACTATTTATTGTCCAGTAAATGGAACAGTATTGCTCACATATTAGGATGTTGTGAATCTCCATTTTCTATATTTATGTACACAGCTATCCCACAGCTTAAAGACCATATAAAAACCGTTCATTTTCACTTTGCTCAAGAGATTATGATTCTATTGTTAAAGAAATTTAAATTATGTTAGAGAATTGAATAATCCAGGATATTTCAGATAAACATCAGATATTTAATAAATACTTTGATGTATGGGTAAGTACAGGACATTTTAGTGACGAAATATATTTTGTTAAGTTATACATACTCTCTTTTCTTTGAAATGTGATAAAACTTGCATTGTAATGTAAATATTTATTAAAATGTTTACTTTTAAATAAAATTTTTATTTATCCCTTTATTATACAGCATAGTGTTACAAGCGCCACCTTGCCAATGATCATTAAAAATTATTTAAACGTTAAATAAATCCACAATTAAAAAAAGTTTTCAAACAACAAAAATTTGCTAGTGCTTCCAGATCGAAAAATAAGAATTACGGTGCTGCCAGTGTAAAAAATATAATATTTGTAAAATTTTAATATAGTGATAATTACAGAAATATTCGGTTGGATATAGAGAGAAAAACAATCTGTATTTTATTTTAATTGACTTTACATGTTTTTCGTAAATATTTCTGGTCATCCTTGACAACATTTCTTTTGTAGGCTTAAAATTTACACGATTATCTGCGTTTCCACGTATGGCCCTTTGGGTCAGGATGGATAGTGTTAAAATGGTAATCGTTTTCGAGTATAATCAATTTTCTTCATTCATTGTCCAGTTCCTGTTGCTTATTTATGGATTCTGGCTTTAGTATTGGCAGAGCTGAGAATAAAAAAGACATAGTACTGTACTCTGTTATCTGAAAGACATGGCTCAAGATTTAACCTGGCGATTGAATTCAATACTGGGTCATTTAAACTATATCTCTTCCGAATACCAATGCATGCTTTGACAATAAAATTGAGGCATCTTTGTTTCAACTCTGAAACTTCTTCAGTACGTGCATTAAGTTTGGGAAGATTAATTTTGTTTGCAACATCCAAACCAATCCAAGGCAAACTTCTTTCAGATCAATGTGATGTTTAACGTCAGTAGGGTTATTTGCGTCGAGAGGAGTGTTTTTTAAATTATTCGGAATTATATACAATGTTAACAGCCATTTTGCTATGAGCTTCGAGATTTACCGGATTTTCACTTTGAAAGAATTTATTTATTTATCCAAATAAATTTTGGCAGCATCCAACATAAAAAAATAAAAGTAGGCCTTGGTGTCAGGATCATTTAAAAGACTATGAATTTCTCTATACTCCTGATCTTCTAGCCATTTATCGTCAAAATATAAACGCACGGCATCCCATTGTTCCATAACTCTGTTTACAACATTTGATAGCGAAAGCCAACGCGTGTGGGTTGGGCGTAAAATTTTATGTCTGTAAAAGCTTGAAATTATTTTAACTGATGAACTTAACGTGTGCTACTATTTTTAAAAAAATATGTCAATCAATGCAATTTTCTGCATCGTAAGGAAGTTATTTACACGCGTCGCCAGCGCATAAACGCAAGGAATGCTTTTTATTACTATGATGCCAGGACATATGCCATTTCTAAATCGCGAGGACACCGAATCGTGACACTCAATCATCGTATTGCCGCCATCTGATCCAAACCAATCCAATTATGTTCTTTAAAGGAATAGAGCTATCTCGAAATGATTTTATTATTGGATTATAATATTTCAGCCATAAGTGGTCCCAGAACCTTCTGACTACACGTCCCATATTAATATCATAAAATTTTACCACAACGCACATTGTTTTTACAGTGGCAACATCTGCCCATCATTACCTAGATGTTTCTTCGTAAATATATCGTCGTGCACCACAAAGACATATTCGGAGTGTAAGATTATTTGTAAGTTGATAATCAATAATAGTTTACAAAAACAAATGTTTCTAAATAAATATTTTTACATGGTTAAAAGTAAAGTAACAGCCTTTAGTAAGATATGCGCCAGGGCTGGGCACCAAGTGATGTGAACCCACTGCGGAATGGCAGGCTTCACATAATATTATCTTCGAAATATTTTTTATTTAAAAAATAAGCAAGCTTTCTCACCATATTTTCCTTCATCACTGAACACGTGAATAATTGGCACATAAAATTGCTATTAATAATCTCATTACACCCAGTTCCCGAAAGCACAATCAATTTTAATTTACGATAAATCTCTTGTCAATCGTTGTTTAACATGATCTGAGTTGCTAGAACGTCTGAAAACAACATTGATTTTGATTTGCAATTAGTCACTGATTAACGGACAATCAACAGAAAATCGAGTTTTTCGAAGCGTTTTTCGGTGGTCAACGAGCTGTCAAAAGTTTTATTAAGTAATCAGTCAATTTGGCTGATCAATCGTTGATTAAAAATTTCTTTTATCAAAAATCTTAGCTTATATTAAAAATAAACATAATTCCCTAATACGTTGTAAGGACATTCATGTGTTCTATTACCTATTTAAATACATTACATAATTTTAAAGGTAAAAATGTCATCAAATCTATCTGAGGACGAAATTTCTTTATCGAGCGACGAAGAAGACGATCAGCCAACAGTATCAAGCAGAGTTTTCATAAAAAGTAAAGTTTAATCCCATGGAACATTACAATGATGACCAATTTAAGGCCAGGTACAGACTTTCGAAAAATGTTTTTCAAGAGCTAATGCAATCTCTGTCTCACCTTGAACCTCTCACCCAGAGGAACCACTCAATAAGTGCAGTCAAACAGGTATTATTGGCTATACACTTCTATGCATCTGGAGGCTTTCAAAAATGTTTTTCATACATTTGTGAGGAACCACTCAATAAGTATCAAAACAGGTATGCTATATTCTATGCATCTATGGCTATGTATATATCAGAGTTCATAAGTCTACTGCCTGCCGAATAATCCAAAATGTTTCTCATCAAATAACCAAGTTGAGGCCACAATATGTTAAAATGCCTTTGACAGTTCAAGAGCAGGCTAAAATCCGCAATGATTTTTATAATATTGCTATGTTCCCAAATGTTATTGGTGCTGTGGATTGCACACATGTTAAGATCCAATCACCAGGAGGCCCTTCTGCAGAACTTTTATCGCAACAGGAAAGGATATTTTTCTTTAAATGTGCAAGTAGTTTGTGACTCAAATTTGAAAATTTTGGACATAGTTTGTAGGTGGCCTGGCTCCGTACACGATTCCACGATCTTTAATGACTCCCATCTCCGAGCTGAATTTTAAATGGGAGTTTATAATAATTATGTCCTACTCGGAGATAGTGGCTATACATGTAGGAGGTATTTACTGACTCCATTCAGCCTTCCAACAACAGTGAAGAGGCCTAAAACAGAGCTCAAATAGCCACAAGAAATCCTGTGGAAAGATGTTTCGGAGTCTGGAAAAGACGATTTCCTTGTTTGGCAATGGGTATGTGGGTAAATTTGGATACAACCATGAATATCATTGTAGCTTGTGCTGTGCTGCATAATATTGCTCTTAGTCACAATGATATCATTGATGGTCTATCAGAAGTAGTTTTACCAGCAGAGCCAGAACTAGGAAATCCACCTATTTTTCAGTCTCAACAAGGATTTAATGTAAATTTTTCAGTACGAGCTGCTTTACTCCAAACCCATTTTCGCCAGTAATTAATTTATTACCAAATAATTTATAGATTAAAATAGGTTAATGTTTTTTTTTTTTTTTAGTTAAAGGTATCTGTAAATAAATAAACGAAGTTTTCCAATTTTTGTTATTTGTTTTATTTATAGCTAGTATATGAAAACACAAACTAAAATAAAACTAAATAAAAATTAAACCAAGTTAAATTTGACAAAACAAATAGTAAGTTGTTAAATTTTAAATACAATATAAACATACAGGCAAATCATGTACAGACCACTTCCTTGTTGACTACAGAACTAAAACATTTATATAGTCCTATAATATATAAAGTTGCTCAAGTCTGAAAGAACAGGCAAACAAACAAAAAGACATACAAAATGAAAATGATATCGTTTTTATTTACTAAATATGATAGATATTTTCATATTCTCTATGCTTGAGTATTCGATTTTTTTTATTTTAATATCTAAATCAATTAGCTCTTCTTTTTTTTTTGCTATTCTATAATTTATAATGTTAGCACTTTTTTCTATCATAGCACTTTCATATTTTTTTCATAAAATTTTTTTTTCAACATGGTGGAGGTTAATCTTGATCGTTTGTTCTTTATGGGGGCTTTTATTGATTTTTTTTTAATTTTTTTTTGGCACTTAATTCTGCTACAAACGCGCATCTTTCATTTTCACCTGAAACAAATATATACTGTTTTATAAATAATTTCACTAACTGTAAAATTAATTAGATGTTAAGGTAATATAGTAAATATGGTAAGGTTTTTCTATAATCAGTAAGAATTGAAAAAGAAAAATTAACAGTAAACATATAACTTACTATCATGAATGGGGATTGTTACATCAATTGCATCTTGTTCTGGTTGTGGGCCTGCTATTTCAGCTTCATCTGCAAATCAAAACGAGAGATATTGTGTACATAGTAAATATTTTTATTACATAATAAGAAATTAATGAATATAATGATATACTTTGTTCATAATATTCTGCAGCACTGTCACATGCATTAGACAGAGGAATTATTTGATCTCCCATTAAAGCAAGCATTTGTGCCCCAACTTCAGCCAGTTTTGGGGTATATTTACCTCCACCAGTTGCTTTAATTTGTTTCTGAAAATTATTAATAGTTATACATAAGAATTATTAATAGATATGCCGTGTGTTGTCGGCGTAAGAATAAGCCACCCCATCTCATCCCGTGGGTGTCGTAAGAGGCGACTAAGGGATAAGCCACAAACATCCGGTGGCCTCCGATAGATGGCGGGATAACCATCCTAACTCTCCAGACCTAAATATCCAGGCGAATAACGGGCAGCAGCGTTGAAGGTGCGAGGTGTCTGGAAGAACTGCGGTTGCCAACCCGCTCGCCAAGCGTGGCAACTATGGCAAAAAACCCCTCATGAATGGAAGTCCAAGGTGTACGGCCCCAGTCCCCGGCGGCCCTGCTATTCCTGGCTACGGTAGCGGTCATGGTAACGGCAGGGTAGGGGGTGCTAAGAATCTCCGGCTAAGATTCGGCTACCAACGACGGCGACTGGACTTGGCAACATACAACGTAAGAACATTGAGGACTGACGAGAAGATAACAGAGCTGGAAGAAGAGGTAAGCAGGCTGCGTTGGGATATAATAGGATTATCTGAAGTCCGAAGACAGGGGGAGGACACGATAATCCTTGAATCCGGCAATCTGTTTTACCACCGGGAGGGCGACCAACTGTCCCAAGGAGGTGTCGGATTTATCGTCCACAAGTCTCTCATTAACAACGTTGTTAAAATCGAGGGTGTGTCGTCGAGGGTTGCGTACCTTATACTCAGAATATCCAAACGGTATTCGCTGAAGGTCATACAGGTCTACGCACCAACGTCGACACATCCCGATGATGAGGTGGAGGCAATGTATGAGGATATATCACGAGCCATACATTCCTCCAAAACTCAGTACATGGTGTTAATGGGAGATTTCAACGCAAAGGTAGGCAAAAGGAAAGACGATGAGCTGAGAGTAGGTAGTTTTCGAATAGGGCAACGGAACCCAAGGGGGCAGCAGCTGGCTGACTTTATGGAGAAAGAGGGACTCTTTATGATGAACTCTTTCTTCAAAAAGCAGCCCCACAGAAAGTGGACCTGGATTACCCCCGATGGTTCTATAAAAAACGAGATAGACTTCATTATGACGAACAAACGGCAAATATTCAATGATGTCTCTGTGATCACAAGGGTGAAGACCGGAAGCGATCACCGATTAGTGAGAGGCACATTGAATATTCACATTAGGCTGGAAAGATCTCGTCGTCTGATGAAGTCCACACTCCGACCATCTCTTGCCCATATCCAGAACTCCGAAAGCTTTCAGCTCGAGCTACATAATCGTTTCCAATGCCTAGAAAATTGCAGCACGGTGGACGATATTAATGCAAAGCTCGTGGAAACTGTCCATGCCGCGGGCCTTAAATTTTATAAGGCCCGCCGCAAAAATAGAACCCAAAAACTCTCTGATCACACTCTCAACCTCTTGGGAAAAAGACGAGAGATGCGGTTGCAGTCTCTAACTGACATGTCGGACTACAGGCGGCTTAATAGGCAGATCTCCCAATACATGCGGCGAGACTTACGCATCAATACAGGTCGTATTGAGGGAGCTATAGAGCGGAACCTAGGCTCAAAAGTCTTCTCCAGAGATCTGTCTATCGGACAAAGCCAACTGACTAAGTTGAAGACTGACAGCGGCGTTATCATCTCCAGTAGACCAGAGGTTTTGAGTGAGATAGAGAGGTTCTATGGACAGCTGTACACATCGTCGTTGGAGCCACACACACATGTCAACGACCCAAGAGCAAAGCTTATCCGACACTATTCCGATAATATCCCGGACGTCAGTCTGAGCGAGATTAGAATGGCTCTTGACCATCTTAAGAATGGCAAAGCATCAGGAGAGGACGGAATTACAGCAGAGCTTCTGAAAGCGGGTGGAGAACCGGTACTTGTAGTCCTTCAGAGTTTCTTTAATTCCGTCCTTCAGGGTGGAGCTACACCAGAGGCGTGGAGCAGAAGTGTGGTGGTGCTGTTCTTCAAGAAAGGCGATAACGCTCTCTTGAAGAACTATAGACCGATATCCCTTCTGAGCCGCGTCTATGTGCTATTCTCAAGAGTCATCTTGAATCGTCTCGCTTCCAGACTCGACGACTTCCAGCCTCCCGAACAAGCCGGATTCCGAAAAGGCTTCAGTACCATAGACCACATACACACCTTGCGGCAGATTATACAGAAGACCGAAGAGTATAATCTGCCTTTGTGCCTAGCGTATGTGGACTATGAGAAAGCCTTCGATTCTGTCGAAATTTGGGCGGTACTCCAGGCTCTTCAGCGGTGCCAAATTGACTGTCGGTATATCGAGGTGCTGAGGTGTTTGTATAACAAGGCTACGATGTCCGTCCAAGTACAGTCCAGTAGTACAAAACCTATCCAACTGCAGAAGGTTGTAAGTCAGGGTGATGTCATATCCCCGAAACTCTTCACCGCTGCGTTGGAAGATGTTTTCAAGCTTCTGGACTGGAAAGGACGAGGTATTAACATCAATGGCGAATACATCACCCATCTCCGATTTGCCGACGATATAGTCATCATGGCAGAATCGCTGGAGGACCTTAGTACTATGCTCAATGACCTCAACAGTGTCTCCCAACGGGTGGGCCTTAAGATGAACATAGACAAGACGAAGATCATGTCTAATGTCCATGTCACGCCAATACCGGTTGTTGTTGGGAGCACTGAGCTCGAAGTTGTTGACGAGTACATTTACCTAGGACAGTTAGTCCGGCTAGGTAAGTCCAACTTCGACGCAGAGGTCAATCGGCGAATCCAACTCGGATGGGCAGCGTTCGGGAAACTACGGCAAATCTTCTCGTCAAATATACCTCAATGTTTGAAGACTAAAGTCTTCAATCAATGTGTGTTGCCAGTGATGACCTACGGAACCGAGACGTGGTCCTTCAATGCTGGCCGTATGAGGAAGCTCAGTCGCTCAGCGAGCTATGGAGCGGGCTATGCTCGGTATTTCTCTGCGTGATAGAGTTCGTAACGAAGACATCCGCAGTAGAACTAAGGTGATCGACATAGCTCAGAGGATTAGCAAGCTGAAGTGGCGATGGGCCGGCCATATAGCTCGTAGAACCGATAACCGTTGGGGAAGAAAGGTTCTCGAGTGGCAGCCTCGTACTGGCCATCGCAGTGTGGGACGACCCCCCACTAGATGCAGTGACGACCTGTGCAAATGTGCGGGAAGTCGATGGATGCAGGTGGCTCAGATCGTACTTCGTGGCAGTCTATGGGGGAGGCCTATGTTCAGCAGTGGACTCAAACAGGCTGAAATGATGATACATAAGATCATTCATATTTTCACAAATCAAAACCTGCAATGGAATATTAATCTAGTAAATTGAATCAAAGTCTTAAATAATAGATAGAAAACTATAATACCAACCTTATCTTCTGCATCAATTTTTTTATATTTATTATTATCAATATACATCTGGACCTAAAACAATAATTTTAAAATTAGTACTAATATATAAGTTATATGTGCTGACCTTAAGGGAATAAGCAATACATCTTTAGTATATTCCCATGGTAAGCAAAGTATTAGCGGTATCTCAACTACAGACAGCAGCAACTTAAGAAACAAAATCTGTACAGTACATAAAAAATTGTAAATACCTGGTCATAGAGTAAATTGTAGCGTTATATTGCTACTTGCTTTATATGTAGGTTTATTGTGACAAGAGTTATTTGATAGGTCAATGGTCTATTGATTTTGACCATCTTATAATATTCTCTATATTATTAGGAAAAATGTGTTACGTACATTTTCATCAGCAACATTTTTTCGAATTAGCCGTTTTAAGTTTAGATATGCAGTTTGTAACTGCTTTTCAGAGCGAGGGTGTTCTGCAGATGCATTATATTCCTGCATTATTTCATTCCAAGCCTTATTTTTAAGTCCATGCTAAAAGCGTTAGTGCGCTTATTTTCTATTACATGCTTGTGACTAAAAATTATGTTTTGCGAACACATCATGCGATTAGAAACAGTACAAAATGCAATTCAAAAGTTAATAAATGATATGGATCCTTTCTTTTTATAATACTTACTTGTTTATTATGGATAAGAGTTCATTTTTTTCACGTTCCGTAAAGTTTTTCCTAGACATTTTGCAAGTATTTGGAGTGACGTGTACGGTGTATTTAAGTTTTGTTTAAAAAGGGACAGCTATACAATAGAAAGAGTTAGTTGAAGTAAATCATTCATTTCATTCATTATCATTGGTTATACAGTGATTAGCTAATTTTTCTTGAACAAACCTTCCAGAAACCCAAGGCAGTTTAACAAGAGATTAACAGCTGATCATTTTTGACATAGTGTTATGTGATTGCTGCTTTGATTGGCCTTTCGGAAACTGGGCATAGTGCCTTGAACTCAGGTTGCTTGATTATATAGAATTAAATGGGAGTGTCAGGACATTGAGCTATAACGTAATTGAAAAATAATAAAATGAAATTAGCTACAGTAAAAATAGTCAATGTTTTGATTTACTCAATACTAACTTTAAAAAAAAATGTCCATGTTATTTATACAAAATCGTTATTTCCTGCGTGTAATGTGCAATAAGGGCAAAAGTCATAGTACGTCAATATCGAAGTGTCAAATGCACGATTTTTGATATAATACAAATTTTGCGGTGTTTATTTTCAAGATTGCAATGTTATTATGACTAAAAGTAATAAAAATGTATAAACAGGTGCAGTACTTTGGATCGGTTATTTTTATATTATCTATTGTTTACCTTGCAAGAACATTTTTAAGACAATTGTTTGAGGACGAAAGTTCGCAAGTGGACGAGTGGTTAGAACAAAACGATCTTGGTGACTATAAGAAGTTATTTAGGGAATATGGTAAGTCTTTTATACACAACGACCTTTCATTATATTAAATGCTTTAAAAATAAATGTTATATGGTTTAATTTTGACCTTTTACATAAAGATATTTTAAATAAACTGCTTTTATTTTTTCAAATAAATTCAAGTTTCAATATAATTCAAGTTTTGTCTTGTTTATTTTCATTGACTTCAATGATATTATATACAAATAGACACACGGCTGTCAAATTCAATTTTTTTTTTTTTTTTTTTTTTTTTTCACTTTTACAATTTATTCAAATTTTATATTAATATTTTTAAATCTAAAAAATTACATATTATCTAATAAACCTAATCCACGCGGCATGGTGCCAAGAACGCTAGCTGCATTTCCTCGCTGAATAGTTATGCTTAACCTTTGCGCGAGAAAAGAACCAGCTCTTTGTCACCAGCCGCGGCGTTTTTGGACATAAACTTTTAAAAAATTTGATGTGCGGGGACCCCACGGACCTAATGTTTCAACAGCAAATGGCACAAATATATAATCTGAACATAAAGACTCATATTTGCGCCATTTACTTACTTCAGCTGCCTCCGATGCCGCCCCGGCCCTGACCGAAGTACCCCTTAGATGAGAGCAGCCAAAGTGTCTACACAAGTGGCGTCCCAAACAAGGGCTTTGCCTCTCTCCCAAGGGATCAATGTTAAACCGTCGGGTCTCTTACCATCGTCGCGTAAAATGTCTTATATTAAACTTTAAACAAAAAGTCGAGTCATACCATGTCTTTGTTTTTGTCTCATTTTGATTTTATTTCTATTACAATTTTGAAAACAATAATATTATGAGTTATATAATATTTATAAGCAATTCAATTTAGGTCACTATTTAAAATATTTTTAGTATCTATAAAAATTTTTACATGTTAGCAAAATATTATTTTAAAATTTTGAAATTCGTTTCAGAAATTTATGGTATAAGTATAAACTTTTTTTCTTTTGAGTTGGTATATTACTTTTAAAATTTCTTGGTCCCAAAATGGTTCAGACATACCTGACATCATATTTTGATTAAAAGTCGATGGATAGGACATGTAGATGTATAAAGATAGTATGGCATGTAAATGATCAAAATTTTTTGTTATTTATTAATTTATTTTGTATTTGTTGACATAATTTTCAATAAATTGTTATAATTTTTAATAAAAATTATGACAATTGTGATCTTTTGTATTACATTTGGCACACTTTTATGTTGATTCTAATTTTTTACTTTGTTTTAAATTGTATTGCACAAATTATTTCATAATTGCAGGAATTTTACTCTGATCTGCTGTAATATTTTCATATAAGGAAATTGATATAAACTTAAGAATATTATCTTATTGCCAATTCTGTCTCTTCTGAAACAACAAAAATAAATATTTCTACAGGCGGAAAAAGAAAAAATCATTACATTGATAATTTTTATTTTTTATGGAAAAAAAAAGGGCCTTGATAGCTCAGTGTCCGGGCCCTCGCCTTTAATTCAATATACTCAAGCATGAGCTGAGTTCGATCCCCGGTGCCAGTGCCAATTAAGTTTTTAACTTTAAGTGCTGACTTATCACATGCTCCGCTCCGAAATAATACCAAAAAATATGTATTTCGAAAATATGTGAAGTCCGCCAATCCGCAGTGGGGCCGCGTGGTGAACTATGCCCTGATACCCTCTGTATAGAGGAGGCCTTTGCCCAGCAGTGGAACATGTATAGGCTGTTACTTTACCTTTTTTATATGGGAAAAAAGTGACAAACGAGCAGGTGGTTCACCTGATGGTAAGTGATCACCGCCGCTCATTGACACCTGCAGCACCAGAGGGCTTATAAATGCGTTATGCTTATAATATAGCGAGGCAGATTTTCCTCTCCAAATGATGGGGTGAATAGCAATAATTCCGCGTTGACTTTACACAAAGGCTCAGGACACGATCTTGAGTGACGCGGGGCCTCGGTCCGCCACCCCATGACGTCACGGGCCACCCGCCACCCTCGCGTGAACAAAGTGGGGGGGCGCGCGTCGACCCCATCCCCAGTCGCGTCGTAGACACCGCGCCGCGCGGACGTAACCGCACTCGTCGTCCGCGAAAATTATGAGTTTCACCACATCTCGTGTGATAAAAAACATCTGAACTTTCGTTACGCGATCCTGAAGAATCGGAAACCGGGGTGAATTCCGCTGAAGCGTCGGCTTTCATTCACAATCCGGTCAATTGTGTCTGTCGGTTCGCTCGATGCGGCTTATATTCGGCTAGGCTGAACGAATTGATTCGCCGTCGAACACGCTCCATTGACAAAGATCAACGTACGAGATGTGGCAATTCGAGGACTCCGAAATATGTTCCATAGGGATGATCCATCCTTCTCACAGCCGGAACTCCGGCCTCTCGCTATTGTCCGGCGTATCGCAGTTTTCAGGTATTTCTATTGTAACTTTTTCATTGATACCTAACTTGAAACAAATCGTGTAATTAAATCGTTTTGCTGCTACGTTTCGAACATCATGGCACACATGATAAAAGAGACTGACTAAATAAGACTCGAGTTCAAATCGACTTTCTTTTGTTTCGTTTTAGGACAACAAACGTTAGATTTTTTGTTTAATAAACGGGTTATCTTTAGTTACTAAAATCCTCTTTGTCTGTGGAGATTAAATCATGTTTCAATCACCCAACATCACTTTGAACCGCACTCTATTCATGATTCTAAACGTCCGGTCGAGTCAAAGCTAAGCTAAGCTAAGCTAATTTTATGAACATCATTGCTGATTGAAAAGAAATACATTACTGCATTGCTAAAGCTCCCTGCGACAAATGATTTACAAAGTCAAATAAAAACTCGCATTGCAATTGGAAAAGCAAACAGAGGCAGCATTACGAGAGTAGCTGGCATAAGGTAAATGTGCTATTCGGGGAATCGACATTTATGTATGTAAATTACCTCGGCTTTTCATAAAAATTTGTAAACACTAACTAGTCTTTCATAAAAAATGTCATCTCAATGATGTTGTAATGTATAAAATATTTCATTTAGAAATTAAATTGTGATGTTTAATCAAATAGTATTTCTTTAAAAGCTATACAGAACTGACTTTGTTGAATTTTGTTGCATGTCTCAATGAAGTTACACATACATACATCCCAAATACATTCATATATGCATTCATTCATACTTACATATGTAAATACCATATAAAACTTCAAGCACACATGAATGCATACAATGTTCACGATTGTTTTTCAGAGGAAATGGCAGAGATAACGAGATCCCACTTTCTATAGTATATATATTCGTTTGTGTTTGTAAAGGAACTGATGGAGACTGCAATGCAAATTAAATTATATTGCTGTGATAATAAAGTTGATATCAAACATCGTTACAACCTTAGGGCGATTCTGGATGACAAATAACGTAGACGTATGTTCTTACTTTGAACTAATACCGATCCCCCAACCGTTGGTACAAGTTATCTGCTCCCTACAGAGTTAAACCCTCCCCGCCATAATAAAGCATTAGTTGCTGATGAGACACTATTTTTTAGCCATTTAGTTCTAACTGTTGCGTTCAAATGATAAAGCACTCGCGTTCACATAGCTGTGATGAACCCTTTCTAACAGGGAACGTTTTGTACTCGTACGGGAAAGCGTAATAGAGAATCTGAAATTTGGATTTTCATCCCAGTTATTTCAGAAAATTGAGAGAAAATTTCCTCAGGAATCCTCAGTTCGCCTGTGAGAATACCACATCGATTCCTCATTGATAATACAAGTGACCTGATGATCTTTTGCACTTGATATTTTCTGTGCATGAAATTCATTACATTCGAACGACCCGCGACGTAATAATTAAGATATATGAAAGCACCAACGGATGAAACAATCGTACCGCTTAATTTTTGGCTTCGTTCGTTGAAAACAAAACACTAAAGAGATAAATTGCGCCATTATCCGCACCAGCGCTTACGCAACTGACAAATTGAATCCCACCGACTTTGCGAGTCTGTTTATGCTTCGTACAAAACTTAACTTTTCATACCATAAATCGGATATGCATTGACAGTTATCACATGGGATTCGATGGATGATGATGGTTTCATATGTAATGTCAACAGACTTAAAAATTATGGTATATTGACTCAATTTGGTTGCAATTATTATGTTTCTTACCAATTGCAATTATTATGCAATGCAATTATTATGTTTTTGTCGATTAATAACTCATCAGCAAACCATCGGCTGTTTTAGATTTTCATGGGCTGGTGTTCATTTAACATCAGGTGATCCCGCTTGCTTGTCAGCTTCTTGCATAAAAATGATAAAATAACCGTTATATTTAGCATTACTTTGTTCACAGTAGTGGCTTTGTACACGGGATTTTACTGCAAATACGTGCAGACAGCACGGTTATATCTCGTCACTTTTACGATATCGAGATTAGACATATCACATTTTAGCGATATACGCAGGTCTCTTGTAAGTTGAACCCTATAATTTTAACAAGTAGCCCCCGGGGCTGGAGGTTGAAAAAAGCTGGATGACTTAATTATTTTTTTTTTGGAATGAAACTATTTCTACGGATCTATTATTGAAATTAATGCGGTAATATTCCAAATTTTTATTTTACACCCGAACGCGGTCTGTCGAATGAGCGTTCTGCGATCTTCGAAAAAGTGTTTCACTCGAGAATCTTGGCCTACTCTACATATTTTCCGCCCGATTGATACAAGCCCTGCAGCTTACATTTTTAGTCGCCGTGGCGTTGGAGTGCCCGCCGTGATGCTGAATGCGGAGAGGTACTTCAATGCAAATTGCACGATTTTCGCCACTCCCACTGCGATTTGCACGAGTTTTATGATGCGGTAGAGTCCACGTAGTGCGCGGCTTGGTCTCCATCTAGGAGCCGATGATGAATAGCTACCAACGTTTGGATGAAACCGTGTGTGTTGGGCTCACTGAGCTCACTTTTAGTGAGTAATCATCGATCTCACAGACGACCGCGAAGTATGTATTCGTTGAGAAACGAGAGCTCTAGCCTTTCAATGACTTAGATCTGATTGGCGTAGTGGATGGTAAACCTTTCGCTTACATCAGAGGGTAAAGGTTCGATTCCCACTATTGGAAAAATATTATGTGATAAACGTCTTGTCTGGGTGTCTATATATCTGTAATATGTATTTATGTAAAAAAGAAACTGAGTTTGAAAGTGTTATATACAATTTTTTATTCGGCCTACCTGTGACACCGCTCCACACAACTAGGATACGAATGCGCTCAACCAGAAAGTATGTATATCAGTAACTTAGTGTTAGCACATAGCACAGGCTTTGTTTAGTTTGAAGCCAGATGACATTGTGCAAATGAATGCCCTGAAATATTTAAAATATTGGCCGGCGACTTCAATACACCTTTTTAGCTGTGGTAGGGCCACGCAACAGTGTTCGCTGTTGCACGAATAGGCAGGTCCGTTCGGGTTAGTACCACGACCTCGCAGAAGACGGCGTGAAGTAGAGGTGTTACACTTCTGCGTTTCGTCTGGTGAGTGAGGTAGCCGGGGCTCGATTTATTAAATGGTGGCATCTGCAACCCTACGGGTGTTGCAAATATCCATGGGCGGCGGTTATCACGCAACATCTGGTGAACCGCCAGCTCGTTGGCCACTTTTTCACATAAAAAAAAAAACACATGCTGTGATGTAATTTGACGTCAATGGATTGCGGTTGTCATCCAGACTAGTCATACCCGATCGCTCATGATCCACCTTCGAATACATTTTAAAAAGTTTTCCATGGAAATAAGTTTTCATATCGGCGCCAACCGTATACCAATACCAGGATCGAGGATGAAGAGGTTGCTTGAGAATAGCCAGCTAAAAGCCTGCGATCTGTCTGGAATCCTTTGGGCTACCTACCAAATTGTAGGCCGTCTACCGTCGCCGCTTTAGCGATTAAATGGTTTAAGTGATTATTGATCCATATATATATATGTAAGGCTGAGGCTGAAACAATATACCAATTTGCTCGATCCAGACCGCACATGACACACATCTATCAAGTATTTCATAAAAGTCTTTCTATTCTCCTCACCCGCGGATCTAAGCTGTCGGTATTCCAATAGGCTTCTAGTATTACCTTCGTAAGTCGAGCACGACGCAGGTCTGTTGGTGAACTCCGTGTAACTTTCTTCCCGTTTGGCCAACGTGATTTCTTTTTCTCATTTGTGTCGCTGCGCCGGTTGGCATACGGCCAGGTCGCGATGCAGATGTGGAGCGACGGCCGATAGCTTATTGCTACTGCATCCATCATATAAGATAAACAAGCGATTATGTTTCTAGTCTGAGTCTCTAATAAGTCTGTTAATGCTGTCAATGTAGCCTTGAGGTCAATTAGACCTAGCGCGACGTGTCACCTTGTCTCTATATCTCTTAAAAATGAGACTTTTCAGTTTGATGTAAAGGTCTTTCGGATCGGAGATCGGATGTAATACGTTTTGGCATACATCCTTACTTTATCGCTTTTCTTATACCAGGGACTGTGTAAAGTTTCCAGTCGTTTTCATGTAACTCATTGTCGGATCGCATCATCTCTATTAGCCAATGTACATCATGGATTAAGATCGCAGCCATTGTGTTATCGATGACCCTAAAAATCGACTCGACAAAAGCCTCGCATGACTCGGTTCGAATAAACTGGCTTAATTACTACGAGCAGTGGAAAATACTATAACAAAAGATTCATCGTTACGTTCATTGCCAAGAGTCTCTTTAATTATTCTAGCAATATTTGATTCCAACAAGTTGAAATTAATTTTCCGACCAGTGTACACAGACCTCCCGCAGTTGTGAAAGACAAAAGATCTCATTGTTTCGAAAACAAAAATGTTGTGGTTGATCATTTACGGGTCGCAATTGAGGCCATCTATTCATTTAAGAGAAGATGTAGAAATAAGCTTTTATTATTATCCATCATTGTCTGCTCTTAAAAAGTTATGAGATATTTTTCATTGTAAAAAAATGACCATTTAAAATCTGAATCTGTCCTGCGCTTGTTCCACCTAGGTGGAGTCGGGACAATATGTGTGAATACTTTTGATTTATGGATAAAGTAAACACTTCCTGTTCTCAGATATAATCACCGTGTAATGACCGGAAGTATACTAACAAAAAATAAAATTGATGGCGGTTGTACATAGTGAAGTATACAAGGAAACATTTATATAAGAACCGCTGAGACTATAAGATTGCGTGCGGTATAATTTTGTAAGGTGCTTAAGGCATCAATAATCTATACATATAATAAAAATGTAACTGATCGTTGTCTGTACTTGGAAGATATTTGAGAAAAACTATTATTATCCTTTATCAACTCAGTAGAACCCAAAACAATGATTGTTAAAATTTTTGTCTGATTGTCTGTGCGTTTG